ATTATCATTGTTATTATTATATTATTATCATTGTTATTATTATATTATTATCATTGGTATTATTAAATTATTATTATTATTATCATTGTTATTATTATTAAATTATTATTATTATATTATTATATTATTATCATTGGTATTATTAAATTATTATTATTATCATTGTTATTATTATTAAATTATTATTATTATATTATTATATTATTATCATTGTTATTATTAAATTATTATTATTTTATTATCATTGTCATTATTAAATTATGATTATTTTATCATTATATTATCATTATTATATTATCATTATTATTAAATTATTATTATATTATTATTTTATCATTATATTATTATGATCATTGTTATTATTATATTATCATTAACCCCTCTATAGTAATAATAATTACCCATTAATCCCATATATTAACATTATTACCCATTATTCCCATATATTAACAGTAATTACCCATTAATCCCATATATTAATAGCAATTACCCATTAATCCCCATATATTATTAATTACCCATTAATCCCATATATTATTACTAATTACCCATTAATCCCCATATATTAATAGTAGTTAGCCATAAATCCCATATTCTAACAGTAATTACCCATTAATCCCCATATATTATTAATTACCCATTAATCCCATATATTATTACTAATTACCCATTAATCCCCATATATTAATAGTAGTTAGCCATAAATCCCATATTCTAACAGTAATTACCCATTAATCCCCATATATTATTAATTACCCATTAATCCCATATATTATTACTAATTACCCATTAATCCCCATATATTAATAGTAGTTAGCCATAAATCCCATATTCTAACAGTAATTACCCATTAATCCCCATATATTATTAATTACCCATTAATCCCATATATTATTACTAATTACCCATTAATCCCCATATATTAATAGTAGTTAGCCATAAATCCCATATTCTAATAGTAATTACCCATTAATCCCATCTATTAATAGTAATTACCCATTAATGCCATATATTAATTACCCAATAATTCCCATATGTTAACAGTAATTACCCATTAATCCCATAAATTAACAGTAATTACCCATTAATCTCCATATATTATTACTAATTAACCATTAATCCCCATATATTAATAGTAATTATCCATGAATCCCTATAAAGTAATATTAATTATCCATTAATCCCATATATTAATAGTAATTACCCATTAATTCTCATATATTAATTACCCATTAATCCCATATATTAATAGCAATTACCCATTAATCCCCATATATTACTAGTAATTACTCATGAATCCCTATATATTAATAATGATTACCCATTAATCCCATATATTAATTACCCATTAATCCCATATATTAATTACACATTAATCCCCATTTTTTTATATTACCTATTAATCCCATGTATTAATAGTAATTATGCATTAATCCACATATATTAACAGTAATTGCCCATTAATTCCATATATTAATAGTAATTACCCATTAATCCCATATGTTAATAAACGGTAATTACCTATTAATCTCATATATTAATATTAATTACCTATTAATCCCATATATTAATAGTGATTACCCATTAATCTAACATATTTATAATTACCCATTAATCTAATAGAATAACAGTAATTACCCATTAATTCAATAAATAATAGTAATTACCCATTTATCCCATATATTAATAGTGATTACCCATTAATCTAACATATTCATTATTAACCATTAATCTCCATATAATAATAATTATCATTAATATGATTGCTATGATGCATTGTTGTGTCCAGTCAGAGCTTCCAATGTATAAAACCATATACATGGGTTTTATACAAAGCATGAGGATGTCCAGCATCATTTAGGCAACCTGAAGTCCGTTAACATCCAGGAAGTGCATCTAGTAGCTGCCTGACTGACAGCCACTAGAGGCTGTCTTATACCTTCAAAGTAATCATTGCAGTTTCTCTAAAACATGTTTTATATTGTATGACTAAGTGGGACAGCGACATCGCACCCAGACTACTTTAATGAGATGAAGTGGTCTGGTGCCTAAAGTGTCCCTTTAAGAAAAGCTGATGCCAGTAGATGTCACTTGCAGCAGTTACCCAGAACCTGAGATTCAATCAGATAAATTGATTAATCCCCTGATTTTATTAAAGGACACGGAGGCTCTTATTATGCTTTCCTCTTTCTTTTATTCCTCAGCAGCAAAATAAATATTGTATATATATTCAATGAAAAAAAGAAAACAATTCAATAACACTACATCATAACTTCTAAAGGGTTAACCAAATACCACATAAGAACCAATTAGAGTGTCCTCATTACAACAAAGTCCCATGTGACCCTAAGCCACTCCTCTTTCTTTTGCTGCTGCAGCCTCAGATAAGTACAACATTTTTTCCTCCTCTGTTCCTGACAGTTAAATATCTTGCTGTTTCAGTCAGAGTACCTTTAAATCCTTTTATTTTTCCTCAGGTTTGGATGTGTTAATAATCTTCTTGGTTTTTCTCCTCTTTGGGTCTTGTCCTTCCTGTATTTTCTTCCCTCTCTATCTTCCCCCTCCCCCCCTCCCCCCTCCGGTCGGTTTGTTTATTTCCCAACCGTTTTTGCTTCCCCATTCCCTCCACTTGGTCTCCCCTCGCACGGGTACCGCTGCCGGTCGCGGCCCCGGCGATCCGTGGTTTGTTACCGCGGTTGCGGCCGCCCGTGCATGCGCACAACGCAAGTGCGCATCGCGGCGGCCATCTTGGGGTTGGCAGTTTTTTTGCGCTTTTGCTCATGCGGCCAATACTGCTCGTTTGGGGGCGGGAGTTGATCCCTGTTGCTGGGCAAGTCTCCCGGTGTTCCCCAGGAGCTTATTCCTGAGGGAACACTCGGTGAGCTTGCTGCAATTTTATTTGTTGTCTACCTCTGTTAGTGCTTTGCTCCACACTTGGTGCCTGGTGCCTGCTAGTGTGTTTAATACTGCTTTAGTTGGGGTTTAGCCATTCTAACATCCTACTTAGGGGATATACTTATCAGCTTTGCCTGTATTTACTGTCCTTCCACCCCAGACATGCAGGCTGAGAACAGTGCATATAGTGCCACAATGCCTATAGCCACCATAACCACCCCTCCCTTGCAGGGCCCCAAAATGTCCACAGCGTTGGAAACAGCGCAGGAGCATATGGACTCAGAGGAGTTACATTCCCTCTTAGACGCAGCTATGGCGAAGTCTGTGACACGGGCCATATTTACCGCCATGGGTGCCATGTCAGATAATTTATCGCATTCCATAACCACTGCGATGAGAGCCACGCAACTGCCGCCTAACCCTGTGGCTAACCCCCCAGAAAATAAACCAGTGGCTCCTAGTGGGTGTAAGGCCGCTAAAAAGTCTCGCCATTTAGACGATTATGCCTCCAAAACCCTACAAACGGACAGGGCACGTCCTGTCACAGAACCTGTGGTTGGACCACAACTAAGAGCCCCCCACCGGGCAAAATCGGTGAGGAAATGGAAGAGGGCTAAGGCCCTACTTGAATCCTCCGACTCTGAATCGGAGCTAGAGGAGGCACAGAGCGAGTCCGAGGAGGAGGACTCTGATGATTCTAATGATAATGATAATCACTTGCGGGAATATGGCTCAGTCACATGCACGGACATGGACCATAAGAACGGAGCTGACGACTCCGCCTTAGTTGACCCTCAGGGCGAACCATTGTTCGACCCGGACACCCTACAACACCCGAGGTCCTCAGAGTGGTACCCTCTGGACCACGTAGCGAAATTTATCGCTGCCCGCATCAGAAAGCCACTGGATAAGGTGGCGTGAAACAAGCTGCGGGCAGAATGCCCACGCCCCACGGTCCCGGATATGGTATGCGCCACCCCGGAAGTGGACCCAAAAATCGCCCAATTTTTGGGAAAATGAGGCTGGAAGGCCAAGAAGGGCCTGGATTTTGCCTGGCGGAATTGCCAGGATAAGGTATTGGACATCCTTGGACCAATCGCGAGGATGTTTGATATGGTCGAAATCACGTTGGCAGGGGGTGCACCACTGGACCTGGAAGCCCTCAGACGGTGGATCCAGCGTGCCGTGTGTCTCCTGGGCAACTCTAATACAGTGGTGGCCACGGAAAGACGCAAAAATTTTTTTTTAATTAAAATTGAGCCTAAGCTAGTAAACCTAGCTATCTCAGAGCCGGGTCCCCAGGCTAAAGCCCTCCTATTCTGGGATAACTTCGTGAAAGAACTAGGCACATATGTGGGCACCTTTACGGCACTTGATAAGGCTCAAGCCAGCATGAAGCGAGTGTTCCATCAGAGGGTTTTTGGCGGGGCCGGCAGATATCAGGGCCGTCTGCCCGGCCGCTCGCCCCGGGGCTCTCGTGGCTCCGTGCAATCCAGATTCACACCCCCGGAACCCAAACAAGCCTCACCGTTCTTCCCGGTTCGAGGCAGACCGTGGCAAACCCGAGGACCCAGAGGCTCTTCATATGGCCGACGACCTTATGGTAAGTGCACTACCTCCTCGTATGTCTGCATTAACTATGGTGGGGGGCAGACTGGGCCATTTTGTCAAAGCATGGCACATGATGCCTGGGTGCTCCACACGGTCCGGGGTTACTCTAAAGATTTTGTGTAATACCCTGTCCAACTGAAACCCCTCGGCCGAATGGTGTTCCCCACTCGGGACCGAGAGTTGATAACCCAAGAGGTCGAGGCCTTAGCCTCCAAGGGGGCAATTTATACAATTCCCCCTGTCACACCAGGCTTTCGTAAGCAACCTATTCTTAGTACCCAAAAAAGGCGGAGGTGTTCGCCCAATCATCAACTTGAGACCTTTAAACATGTTTGTCACATACCACCACTTCAAGATGGAAGGTATACACTCTCTCCGGGACCTCCTCCTCACAGGGGACTGGATGGTCAAACTCGACTTGAAGGACGCATACCTCACGGTCCCAATGGCCGACGACTGCCAACACTTCCTGCAATTCCGCTGGGAAGAGACCATGTGGCGATTCAAATGCCCTCCGTTCGGTCTCTCATCAGCCCCCTGGTGCTTCACAAAGCTCATGAAACCAGTGGTCGCCCTCCCACGCAGCAGGGGAATACAGCTCATAATATACCTGGACGATATCCTCATCATGGCGCAAGACCCGCTTCTGTTGCACGAACATTTCTCTTGGACGAGAAATCTGTTAGAAAACCTGGGCTTTCTGATTAACTGGGAGAAGTCGGTCATCGAACCCTCGCAAGCAATAGAATTCCTGGGATTCACCATAGATACGGTGACCGGAACGCTCCTACTCCCAACGACCAAGGTCAAGGCCATCAAAAAGGAGCTCAAGCGGACGCTAACACGTCCTGTCCTTACTTTGAGACAGCTGGCCAGGATTGTAGGCCTCCTCTCGGCGTCAATTCAGGCCATCTTTCCCGGACTCCTACACTACAGAGCACTTCAACGATTAAAGGCAAAATACCTTCGTTTGGGGCACTCATACTCAGATTCTGTTCCTCTCAACTGTGCCACCAAAGACGAAATCAAATGGTGGCTACAACACATGGAAGCCTGGAATGGCCGCGCAATCTTCGGAACAGCTCCGGACCTCATAGTGGAATCCGATGCAAGCTTGCTCGGTTGGGGTGCGCGCTGCGGACCTTTCTCCACCGGAGGAAGATGGTCCAGGGAGGAACAGGGACTTCATATCAATTGCCTCGAACTGTTGGCAGGTTCGTTTTCTTTACAGAGTCTTTTGAACATGTCGACCAACTGTTCCATCCTATTACGCATGGACAACGTTTCAGCGGTTCGATATATCAACCACCTCGGGGCACGAGGTCAGCAATACTTGCGGAATTAGTGAAGGATTTCTGGCAGTTCTGCCTGGATCGCAACATATCAGTGCAAGCGGAACACATCCCGGGAATGAGCAATGTAGTAGCAGACTGGAACTCCAGACATCTACGAGATGCCAGCGACTGGCGGCTGAACCCGGCCACCTTCAGCCATTTGCAATCACTGTGGGGGCCACTGGACATCGACCTGTTCGCGTCACGACTAAACACGCAATTACCGAGGTTTTTCAGTTGGAGGCCGGATCTGGAGGCTCTAGCGACGGACGCTTTCCAACAACAGTGGCCGAACGCCAGACATTACGCTTTTCCCCCCTTTTCTCTCATCGCACGGACCTTGCTGCACCTCAGACGACACCGAACTTCTCTAATCCTCGTATCTCCCTTCTGGGCGTCTCAACCCTGGTTCCCTACACTCCTGGAACTGTCAATAGATCTGCCGAGGTTACTACCGGTACACGACAACATTCTCCTGGATCCCTATGGCAATCCACATCCTCTCATACTGCAGGGACATCTCAAGCTTTTGGCATGGCTCCTCTCAGGGGACTCGATGACATCCCAAATGTTCCACAAACAACTCTGGACCTCCTGGCAGAAGCTTGGGCCCCAGGTACAAGGAAATCGTATTTACATGCCTGGAAGGCATGGCATGGTTGGTGCGTGGAACAACACGTGGATCCCATATCTGCAGCTGTGAGTCAAGTCTTGGGTTTCCTTACTTCACTTTTCGACCACGGCCTGGCGTATCGTACAATTAATCTATATAGGTCAGCTATCTCGGCAGGCCACGTAGGTTGGAATGGAATTCAAACAGGGAAACATCCGATGGTATGTCGACTCCTACGAGGCATAAAATTTGCACGACCACCACGGCCTAGGTATTCCGAGGTATGGGATGTGAACCTCGTTCTCCGAACGAAGATTTGTCGATCAAGCAACTCACCGCAAAATTGGTCACGTTGTTTTGCCTCATCTCCTGTAAATGGGTCTCAGATGTACGAGCATTGGACATTCAGGCACGCTCATATACACCGGAAGGGGTGGCCTTTGATATATCGAGACATACAAAAACGTCCATCACAAAGGTTTTTTACCCAGCTTTTCCACATAACAGTAACTTATGCCCAGTAGCCTGCCTAAAGGAGTATGAAGCAAGGACGGCGGCGGTCCGAGATTCTCAATGTGCGGAACTATTACTGGCTATTCGACAACCGCATCGTCCGGTTTCTACAGTCACCATATCTCGCTGGGTCAAATGGATCATGACATCGGCAGGCATTGATACTTACACATACGGAGCACATTCAGTGAGGGGTGCGATGGCATCAAAAGCGTTTTCATTAGGCTGTAAATTGGAAGATCTCCAAGCAGCCGATTGGTCGAGAGAATCTACATTCCGTGAATTTTATTTCCGTCCGGTTTCCCATTTTTCCACGTCAGTGATCACACAGCTTTGAACTAGCATAATAAGAGCCTCTGTGTTAATAAAATTACCAGATTTTACTAATTTCATGACGTAAAGTCATGATTTTATAAAGGGCACGTAGGCGAGTATTATCCCACCCACTAAAGGTAAGTTGCCCTCCTCTGGGAATGTAATGTATGTTATGGGACTTGAGCCGTGTGATAATGTGTTGTGTTATTTTATTTTCCATTTGAGTGAATAACATGAGAATGATTGTGTTTTAGATAGCTTTGGAATATGAACGTGGAAAAATATTATCCAAGAACACATTTTACCATCTCGTTTCTCTGTCTTACAGCTTCCTAATTGGAGTGCCATAATGGTCCAGGCATACCCGCAGGTGTGCGGATGGAGGATGACCAGTTTATTCTTCAGGGTTTGTTGGTTTTTTTGTCCGACGTCATCTTCTACTGGATTCACTGTTTCTCTACACGACTACTGGTTATTTTTCATTGCGGAATTTTGGAGTGTCCATCAGCAACACCAAAAGAAAGAGGAATGGCTTAGGGTCACATGGGACTTTGTTGTAATGGGGACACTCTAATTGGTTCTTATGTGGTATTTGGTTAACCCTTTGAAAGTTATGATGTAGTGTTATTGAATTGTTTTCTTTTTTTCATTGAATATATATACAATATTTCTTTTGCTGCTGAGGAATAAAAGAAAGAGGAAAGCATAATAAGAGCCTCCGTGTCCTTTATAAAATCATGACTTTATGTCGTGAAATTAGTAAAATCTGGTAATTTGAATTGTGCAAGGAAGAACAAATAGTCCTTGATCTGCCTGATGGTGCAAGTGCCATGTGAATCAGAAGGAAGTCAATGATATTGTTTATCTAGTTTTTTTTAGCTCCAATGGCTCTATAGATAGGTGTCTATTGGAACCGGCCATGTTGTTTTTCTGCAAGACTGTGGCAGAAGTAGATAGATCGTTTCTCCCTAGTAACAGGTTTCCATTAAAATCATCATGCCTCCAGAGGGATATGGCTCTCTTCTAGCTGAAGAAATATACCAGAAAGAACATATGAGTATAGAAATATACATAAAATATGTAATGTATATAAAATTTTGATGTCAGTAGTAAATAAACTTAAGGCTCCTGAGGACGTTCCTTGCTCTGAACTGATAACCCCGAATACTAGAACAGAGACATGGTGGGCATTTGCTCTAAAAGTAGTCTAAACCAAATAAAAAGGCCACTAACTATCGCTTGAAGAGGGCACAGTGTGTTTAAGATTAGAACTACTTAAGTTAATTTCACATTAGCCACATTATTCACACAATGACACCCCAATGGTGCAGTCGGAGGTGGAGCTGCACCTCCTAGTGGGGTTACACTCTGTATGTACAGCATTTTAGAGAGAAGCAATGAGCATATTCTTATTCTGAACAGTACCCTAAGGTAGGAGTACACAGCGCACAAAAAACCACCACAAGTAAGAAAGAAACACACGTAGAGAGTCAGTAGATCAAGGCAGAAGAATTTGTATCTCTTTAAAAAATAGACATATTTAATGATCAGATCATATGTTTAAACACTTCGCTACCAGAGGGAACGCACAGTGCTGCTTTGCGACAAATGGATAGAAATTAGCACTGTTTGTCACAACTCCATGATACTTTGTTGTGAGGCAGAATTCAGCAGTATACACACAAATAAATATTATCCATTCTCACTTTCAGCTGTACAAATAATAATATTAAAAAGAGCACATTATGTTTATCAAAAGAGAAAGGTTTTTTTTTTAGCTCCAATCACAAAAAAATTATTTAATAGCAACCTTTTTTTTTTTTGATTGATACAAAATAGCAATTAAACATTCCCGTTACATCAATATACATAACACCTCACAACTAGTGCAATCTTTACAGGCTTGTGTGTACGTGTGTTTTGGATGTCAGTGTCAGATGCACTTCTGTCCACGGATAAGGTGAAGTTGGACACGAAATGCGTTGGAGCACCAGGTCTTAGCAAGTGTCCTGTAAGTCTAGGAGGAGGGACCTAACTTCACCCAGGGTACAAAAATAACCTATGTGTCACTGTAGCCCCTTGGGGATTACATGAATACGCAGGAATACCCTATGAGTAACGTGTAATTAGACCTTCTGATTTATCTTATTAGCTAAGGTTTTTGTAAAATGCTCTAAGTAGCGTTCCCCATGGGTCATGTGACTTCATATTCTGCCATTTTAAACCTGGGTAAGTTTGATTAGTAGTCCCATATGTCTTGAGTTTCAAAAATGCCCATAAAACATCACAACCCATTAAAAAATAATTTGGGCAGTTTGATAAGTCTACATTGTAGGCCCTCAATAAAGGACATATAGACTGCATCATACATGTATTTATTTTGAGTGTGTGCACGGGTGTGTGTCCATGTGTGTAGGAGGAAGGGAGGAGGGAAACGCAGGACAAGAATATCGGGAAACGGTGGCAGCATCTAACATGAAGCAAAATATCATCAAGGTCGGAGGTGAAAGGGCCGTGCCAGAGTCACAGAAAGGAGAACCTGGGATCATTTGGAAACACAATCACAAGGGTGAATGTACTTAGTGTTTAAAGAATTAATAAAAAGAAAAAAATTTGATCACAACATATACAAAAAAACCTAATAAAAATTAAACTAAAGTGGCAAACAATGTGCATGAATGAAACTGAAGGTGAACGTCAACAAGTAACACTAATCTTCTTGAGTAAGACTGTCCTAAATACAATGGCACATAACTGAGCTATGGGAACAGAAATCCAGGGACACATTACTGAGGTGGGGGGACTAGAAATCCAGTGGCACTTCACCAAGGGAACAAAAATCCAGTGGCACATCACTAATGGATGAGAGATCCTGTGGTATGCCACTGATCTGGGAAACTAGAAACCAGTGGTACGGCATTGAGCTGAGGGACTGCAAATCCAGTGTAATGTCACTGGGGAGTAGGAATCCAGTGGCACGTCAATGAGGGATGAGAGATACAGTGGATGGTCACTGAACTGGGGGACTAGAAATCCAGTTACTGAAGGACGAGAGATCAAGTGGAACGTCGCTGAACTGAGAGCTAGAAATCCAGTGGAATGTCACTGAGGGACTAGGAATCCAGTGGTACGAAACTGATCTGAGAGACTAAAACTCCAGTGGCATGTCATTGAGGTGAGGGATTACATATTCAGTGGCATGTCACAGAGCAGGAGAACTAGAACTCTAGTGGCACAACACTAAGGGACTAGAAATCCAGTGGCACATCACCAAAGGACTAGAAATCCAGTGGTATGTTAACGAGCTAAGGGACTGGAAAACCAGTAGGACAACACTGGGGTACTAGAAATCCAGTGGCACATCACTGAGAGACTAGTAATCCAGTGGCACATCACTGAGCTGGGGGACTAGAAATCCAGCGGCACATCACTGAGCTGGGGGACTAGAAATCCAGTGGCACATCACTGAGCTGTGGGACTAGAAATCCAGCGGCACATCACTGAGCTGGGGGACTAGAAATCCAGCGGCACATCACTGAGAGACTAGAAATCCAGTGGCACATCACTGAGCTGGGGGACTAGAAATCCAGCGGCACATCACTGAGACACTAGTAATCCAGTGACTAGAAATCCATCACTGAGCTGGGGGACTAGAAATCCAGTGGCACATCTCTGAGAGACTAGTAATCCAGTGACTAGAAATCCATCACTGAGCTGGGGGCCAAAAACCTTGTGGCGCATCTCTTAATTGAGGGAATAAAAATCCAGTGGCATGTCAATGATGGATTAAGAATTCAGTGGCACATCATTGAGCATGGGAACTAGAAATCCAGTGACACATCACTGAGAGACTAGAAATCTAGTGATACAACATAGAGGGACTAGGAATCCAGTGACACATCATTGAGAGACTAGAAATCCAGTGACACATCATTGAGAGACTAGAAATCCAGTGACATATTGAGAGACTAGAAATCCTGTGACACATCATTGAGGGACTAGGAATCCAGTGACACATCACTGAGACTATGAATCCAGTGACACATCATTGAGGGACTAGGAATCCAGTGACACATCACTGAGACTAGGAATCCAGTGACACATCATTGAGAGACTAGAAATCCAGTGACACATCATTGAGAGACTAGAAATCCAGTGACACATCATTGAGAGACTAGGAATCCAGTGACACATCACTGAGACTAGGAATCCAGTGACACATCATTGAGAGACTAGGAATCCAGTGACACATCACTGAGACTAGGAATCCAGTGACACATCATTGAGAGACTAGGAATCCAGTGACACATCACTGAGACTAGGAATCCAGTGACACATCATTGAGGGACTAGAAATACAGTGACATATTACTGAAAGACTAGGAATCCAGTGACACATCATTGAGGGAGTAGGAATCCAGTTACACATCATTGAGGGACTAGGAATCCAGTGACATATCATTGAGGGACTAGGGATCCAGTGACATATTACTGAAAGACTAGGAATCCAGTGACATATTACTGAGAGACTAGAAATCCAGTGACACGTCATTGAGGAGCTAGGAATCTAATGGCACGTCACTGAGCTGGGGAACTATAAATCCAGTGACACATCATTGAGAGACTAGGAATCCAGTGACACATCACTGAGACTAGGAATCCAGTGAAACATCACTGAGACTAGGAATCCAGTGACATATTACTGAAAGACTAGGAATCCAGTGACATATTACTGAGAGACTAGAAATCCAGTGACACATCATTGAGGAGCTAGGAATCTAATGGCATGTCACTGAGCTGGGGAACTATAAATCCAGTGACACATCATTGAGAGACTAGGAATCCAGTGACACATCACTGAGAGACTAGAAATCCAGTGACATCACTGAGGGACTAGGAATCCAGTGACACATCATTGAGAGGCTAGGAATCTAATGGCACATCACTGAGCTGTGGAACTATAAATCCAGAGGCATGTCTCTGAGCTAAGAAAATAGAAATCCAGTGGCACGTCACTAACTGGGGGATTAGAAATCCAGTGGCACGTCACTGAGGGACTAGGAATCCAGTGGGACGTCACTAAACTGGGGGATAAGGAATCCAGTGGCACGTCACTGAGGGATTAGGAATCCAGTGGCACATCACTGAGAGTCTAGATAAGTAATTAATTTGGTCAGTCAATGAAGGAAAGACTTGTTAGGGCAATGCTGGAGAAAGAATGGTGACAGTAACTGGCAAACCTGACGTGGATCAGGATTGAATCTTCTGTTACGTCAATTGTCACAGCATTTCAATATTATTTACAAACCTAAGCCTTATTACTCATTGTCTATAAATGTCTGTAACAGAAAGTGAAAAAAAAAATCACCATTCTCTGTTTACTCCTCTTAAACATGATAGAATGGCGGGTCTAATCAGATATTTATTGAATGTCTTATCCATTTAGGGAGCATGTCTTATTATACTCACTGAGAGTACCTGTCTTTTTATACTCACTGAGAGAACCTGTCTTATTATACTCACTGAGAGAACCTGTCTTATTATACTCACCGATAGAACCTGTCTTATTATACTCACTGAGAGAACCTGTCTTATTATACTCTCTGAGAGAACCTGTCTTATTATACTCTATGAGAGCACCTGTCTTATTATACTCACCGAGAGAACCTGTCTTATTATACTCACCGAGAGTACCTGTCTTTTTATCCTCACTGAGAGTACCTGTCTTTTTATACTCACTGAGAGAACCTGTCTTATTATACTCACCGTTAGAACCTGTCTTATTATACTCATTGAGAGTACCTGTCTTATTATACTCACAGATAGAACCTGTCTTATTATACTCACCGAGAAAACCTGTCTTATTATACTCACAGATGGAACCTGTCCTATCAAACTCACCGAGAGAACTTGCCTTATTATATTCATTGAGAGAACCTGTCTAATTAAACTCATTGAGAGAACCTGTCTAATCATAGTCATTGAAGGGAACCTTCACTCCATTCTAAACCTACCCAGAAAGAACAGCCACCACTCACCCAATACCTGCCAAGCACAAGGCACTGCCAACTTAAAGATAATCCATCCATTAAGGACTGACACCAAATGAAAATAAATAACACCAATTATGACACAGTGCCACTAAATATAAGGATTTCCTCCCCATTACGAAGGAGTGCCACTAAATGGAAGGATGTTCTATCCATTACAAAGGAGTGCCACTAAATGGAAGGATGCTCTACTCATTACGAGGAGTGCCACTAAATGGAAGGATGCTCTACTCATTACGAGGAGTGCCACAAAATGGAAGGATGTTCTACCCATTACGAGGAGTGCCACTAAATGGAAGGATGTTCTAACCATTACGAGGAGTGCCACTAAATGGAAGGATGTTCCACCCATTACAAGGAGTGTCACTAAATGGAAGGATGTTCTACCCATTATGAGGAGTGCCACTAAATGGAAGGATGTTCTACCCATTACCAGGTGTGCAACATTAATGGAAGGATGCTCTACCCATTACAAAGGAGTGCCACTAAATGGAAGGATGTTCTACCCATTACAAAAGAGTGCCACTAAATGAAAGGATGTTCCACCCATTACAAAGGAGTGCCAAAAAATAAAAGAAGGATGTTCGACCCATTATAAAGGAGTGCCTCTAAATGGAAGGAGCTCTACTCTTTACAAAGGACTGCCAATAAATAAATGGAAGTATGTTCTACCTATTAAAGGACCACTATAGTGCCAGGAAAACATACTCGTTTTCCTGGCACTATAGTGCCCTGAGGGTGCCCCCACCCTCAGGGTCCCCCTCCCGCCCGGCTCTGGAAGGGGGCTTTTTCCAGCGCTGGGCGGGGAGCTCTCCTCCTCCTCTTCTCCTCCGTTCCTCCTCCTGGGCTAGCTGCGCGCGCATTCAGCCAGTCACATAGGAAAGCATTCATAATGCTTTCCTATGGACGCTGGCGTGCTCTCACTGTGAAAATCACAGTGAGAAGCACACAAGCGCCTCTAGTGGCTGTCAATGAGACAGCCACTAGACGAAATAGGGGAAGGCTTAACCCATTCATAAACATAGCAGTTTCTCTGAAACTGCTATGTTTATGAAAAAATGGGTTAACCCTAGCTGGACCAGGCACCCAGACCACCTCATTAAGTTGAAGTGGTCTGGGTGCCTAGAGTGGTCCTTTAAGATGAGTTCCACTAAATTAAAGTATTTCCTTCCCATTACGAAGGAGTGCCACTAAATGGAAGGATGCTCTACCCATTATAAAGGAGTGCCACTAAATGGAAGGATATTCTACCCATTTTGAAGGAGTGCCACTAAATGGAAGGATTTTCTATCCATTACAAAGGAGTGCCACTAAATGGAAGGATGTTCTACCCATTACTGAGGAGTGCCACTAAATGGAAGGATGTTCTACACATTGCAAAGGAGTGCCACTAAATGGAAGGATGTTCTACCCATTACAATGAGATCCACTAAATTAAAGTATTTCCTTCCCATTACGAAGGAGTGCCACTAAATGGAAGGATGCTCTACCCATTACTAAGGAGTGCCACTAAATGGAAGGATGTTCTACCCATTACGAAGGAGTGCCACTAAATGGAAGGATGTTCTACCCATTACAGAGTGCCACTAATTTAAAGGATTTCATCCCCATTATGAAAGAGTGCCACTAAATGAAAGGATGTTCTACCCATTACGAAGGAGTGCCACTAAATGGAAGGATGTTCTACTCATTACAAAGGAGTGCCACTAAATGGAAGGATTTTCTACCCATTACGAAGGAGTGCCACTAAATGACTAGAAATCCAGTGACATCACTGAGGGACTAGGAATCCAGTGACACATCATTGAGAGGCTAGGAATCTAATGGCACATCACTGAGCTGTGGAACTATAAATCCAGAGGCATGTCTCTGAGCTAAGAAAATAGAAATCCATGTTCTACCCATTACGAAGGAGTGCCACTAAATGGAAGGATGTTCTACCCATTACAAAGGAGTGCCACTAAATGGAAGGATGTTCTATCCATTACAAAGGAGTGCCACTAAATGGAAGGATGTTCTACCCATTATGAAGGAGTGCCACTAAATGGAAGGATGTTCTACTTATTACGAAGGAGTGCCACTAAATGGAAGGATGTTCTATACATTACAAAGGAGTGCCACTAAATGGAAGGATGTTCTATCCATTACAAAGGAGTGCCACTAAATGGAAGGATGTTCGATCCATTACAAAGGAGTGCCACTAAATGGAAGGATGTTCTACCCATTACTAAGGAGTGCCACTAAATAGAAGGATGTTCTACCCATTACTAAGAAGTGCCACTAAATGGAAGGATGTTCTACCCATTACAAAGGAGTGCCACTAAATGGAAAAATCTTCTACCCAAATCAGAGAAATACTGCAAAATGGAACCATTAGGAGGCAGTGTTACTAAAGGGAATGTTGATTCACATGTACTGGGAATGTTGCTGTATTGAAAAAGAATGCACTCCAAGAAGGCATCTCCCTCACTTGCACAAACCTTGCACACAGGCCTTTGGTCTGGCAGATATGTGTTTGACATATTATTGAGGCCGTTGGGACCCAGAATGTCTGCTGTAAAATGGCAACCTGCTTGGGGATGTGGGACCCTGTTATGTGTTTCTATCCCAGTCCTATAGCTCTTCCCATGATTTGAATATCACCATTTAATAGTATAGGGATGGATTTCATCCAATATGGTCCTAAAGGTGCCAGTCTGGACTACCGGGTGAGAATCTGCACCCGCTGTGGCCCAAAAAAATTATTTGAAAATGAGATGTTTAGTGACTTGAAGAGAGCTGCAGGTTAAAACAGTTCTAGAGGACAACTGAAGCCTTGTAACAAATAGTACTTCTGTTAAAGTAGAGCCAGTGTCAATATGGCTTCCACCCCATCAGTTTAAACATATAAAGTGTACCTGGGTAGTAGGGGCAAAGCTCACCCTTTTATTGTTTTGATTTATTTTGATTCGGACGCCGACCCCATGTTCACTGTGCTTAGTGGGTTATAAGCCGACAAGGCCAATGACAGGCTGATATGATAGGCCAATTGTGCAGAGGGGAACTGACAGTGTTTCGATATGAACTACCTTTGGATGTGATAAGTCTGATATGTGAATGCTATAATTTCCTTCTATAATATCACAACTAAACTCTTATGAGACATGAGCAAAGCCTAATTGAAGATTGAGTTACTATGTTTTTTATCTTCTCATATTAGCGTTCTCATCATTTGTGCCTTAGCTCCTCTTGCTAATATTTGCTAATGTCACAGCCTGAATTTAGACCCACAGCAAAATGGAGAGCAACCCAGTGTGAAACCAGCTGAACAACTGCTGGCGATGTCAAACACTTCTAACAAAGGCAGGCATGCTCCTACAGAGACTGCATGAAAGGAATCTAAACAAGTGGGTGCCTCACAGGTATCTATGCACTCAAGAGTCTTGCTTTAGGTAGAGACATCCCTCACTTCTTGTAAAAGGCTGGCAATGCCTGTGCCCCAGCTCTGCCTTAGAATATGGGACTTACACATTACAAGCCTTTACTGTCACCATGGTAATGATTTTATGCAGACAGTTTGGGCTAGAAAAACGGTTGTTTTGATCAAGTATATAATTTTCTTGGTAAAATTACTAATTCATCAGAAAATAATTTATCCAATTAGTGCATTATTTAAAATAGTAATTCCACAAAAACAATTATTGAAATTTGAAAATAAAATAAATAAATAACATCTCCATTGTTGTACAAATAAAACAACAAAACAAATGAAAGCCAAAAACCGTCAACCTAATATTTTGTTCCATTTTATATGTCACGAAAGTTGATATCAGTGAACCAAGGGTAGATTCACTCACCGCAGACAAGAAGACTGTCTGCGCCAACCTGCGGCTAGCAGTTATTGGCTGCTTTTATCTCTGTGCTTAGCTCGGTTTGGCTGTAGGTATGTAAGGACAGGACATTGCCAAATATGCCCCTCTAATTGGTTTCCAGTTCCCTTTTTTTTTTGGTAGGTCGATGACTATGCAAACAGCATCCTCCCCAAACACAGATATTTCCGAAAGCAGTCTCACCACCTATGCGCTTGCAGAGATGGAGGCATATTCTGCCACTCTGTTAAGAGGTGGTGAAATTTGGGAGGCCTATGGATGATCATGTCATATCCCTCCCTGCTCTCCTCCTCTCACCGCACCGCTTTATGTTTGCCTCCACAACAGCCGCAATGTTCTCCACACCAGTGGCAAGCCTGCAGCGGGAGGTAACAGCACATGCAGGGAACCACAAGGGACAAGGCTACTAGGGCGGCCCAACGTACACAGAAATGGGGATGACCAGGGTCGCAGGAGCATGGGTCCGAATATTCACCTTCCGAGTCTGACATGCAGTGGTACAATAGGCTCTCAGCGCACCACATGCAAGAAAGCTGGTAAACACAGCGACTGATAGGGTCAGGAGCATCCTGGCACTGCCCTCTTCCATTCTCCTCACTGCTAAACACGTCCCTGCAGTAAACGCATCGAGCCGTGGCTGTGTCCTCCTCCCCCACCATGTGAGCATGTTCCTTAGACTTAGGGGAAGGCGTGCCATGAATCCTGCAGGAAGGAGAGCCTCTTGGGTCTTTCAGGGGTCCCTCACTTTCTGTTGCTGCAGTTGCACCTGGAAAGTGTCTATCCTTGGTTTTACTTCCACTGGCTTTTTGGAAGTGAACACGAAGGTCAGATTTGGGCTGCTCTGGCCTCTGCAAGGCAGCGCGACGGTAGTCTTCATATCCCTTTGACACCCAAAGGTCTTTACAAGGGTTGATGCTCTCCAGCTCCTCCTCGTCATGGAAGGACAGGCGCTGCAAAGGCTGTGACTAGAAAAATAAAAATAGAAATGCATGCGAGTAACACAGAGAGGAATGATATAAGCTTCAGGGATGTATCTATAACCACAAATCAATACAACATAGACGGGATTTACAGAACCTTGAACATGTTAACCACCCCTTTCCACTTCTCTCTATAGAGCATGATTCTGCAATAATCTCCTAACCACTGCATTAACTCTATAATGGTGCACGGCCCACAAGCTTCCCCAGAATTTCCTTTAGATCCTCCAACTATCAACGTCAAAGCTCCCTCCAGTACCTTGTGTTTCAACTTCCATCCTTTACATCCTGTTCTCACTGGCTTTGTATATACACTTTGGACTTATTTCCAATGTTGCCATTAAGTTTTACTGACGAGCCTCTAATCATCAAAATGTCTGTCGCTCATTACTAACAAAACAGTAGGACTGGACGTTTGATTTGCCTTTTATTTTTCTTTACTTAGTTATACAAATTGTATTTTCTCATGAAAACGTGAATGTCCAAAATATCCGTTGCTAACATTACTGCCCAGCAATCTTTATTGGTGACTGCCAATTCTGACTGCTAGACTCCCATAGAGGTCAATCGGAAACATTAGTTATTTCGCCAATAGACATTATCATGGTTATTTATAAAAGTGAGAATTGCAGGGAATTCAAAGTGAATTTCAAAGCTTAGGCCAAAATAGCCGAATTTGAAAAATCTTCCTGAGTCAATTCTTTTTCCATTTCACCTATTTTGAACTTTGAATTTATGCTGATCTCCCAGCAAATCTCTCTTTATTAAATAACCCAGTAAATTTTACAAACTGCAGCTATCTCACCAAAATGAAAGCTTGTCTTGTAAAGAGAAAATACAAACTGTACATCCTATTGGAAAAACATATATTTATTCCATATTCACGTCTGACCAAATACCATAGCCCTGCTATTAATACTATGTCTAGACAGACACACACACACGCTAAGAATTCAGAATTTATAAACCTTGACCAAACGAGCCGAGCATAAGTCACTTTTAATTCACAGAAATACTCACTCTAGTGAATAACTTTGCATGAATAACAGAACATACACATTGAAATCACCATTAAACGGATAGGTTCCCACAAGGGGCAGAGATACTGAAGTCACAGAATAAAGGAATTTATATCAACTACGCATGAACAATCCCATGTCCAGCATGCCCAGGTGAAGTGTGCATGCGCAGGGTGCACATTCTAATGCTTCTGGGTGTGGCTGCTATAACAATCAATTAGAAAGTGTTTGTTCTACTGTTTAGGTTGGCGTCACTGAGTCATTGAGATAAGAAGTTAGTTGTAGGAGGCTGCAGCTTGGAAACTATTCTGTACATTCTGGCCACAAATATCTACCTGCTATTATCAATAATAACATTCCACTGCTAATTTTTAACAGCCACTCAGGAAACAAGCCCTTTGATGGTAAGTTTAAAGCAGGATGGACACATGTAGGGTTTTTTTTTTCTATAACTTGAGGGCAAGCTAAACGTTAGTGATTGCTCGTGCAGCTTTAAAGGCATCGTCCAAGAATATTATGTAAAATAGTTGACTCTACCTTCAGTGTGGAAGTACATACGTGCATAAGGCACTGTAGAAGGATTTGCCACGATGCACCCAGAGCATTAGCTCCCTGTTTCTGTAGCTTTTCCTGGTATTTATCACTGGTTGGATATACGTTGCGGGCACCTTCCACTAGAGGAAGTAGGGTGGCACCTACCTGTGTGCTAGGGCTGACCGATGGACCACTACTAAACCCAAACTCTTCCGAAGCTGGAGATCGGACATAGCAGCTGGACGAAGACTCACTGGTCACAATGGTGATATGTTTTGGTAACATCTCCTTCCTGCTGTTTGAAGATGACTCACTGTCTGTGGGCAGCTGACACATAAGCAAACAATGAGGCAGAAAGTAGATATGTAGAAGGACCAAACAGTACTAAACATTGAATTACACAACGTCAAGCATTTAAACTGATGTCACTAGAAGAGATTTACTGGAGATCTCCCAGTAAATGGGTTCAAAGTATAATTTTGTGAACAGTTGGATGGAAGACTGGTGGGAAAGCAACAAAACAGACAGTTGATTATTGCCTCGTGGGCAGACACTTACTGGCACAGCATCTTCGGGAATGTCTCCTTCTTCAGGTGTGAGGGATGAGGAGGGGGAGGATGAAGAATGAGAAAGAGAGCCTGAAAAAAAGAATAGGAGTAATGGACGGGCAGTACAGGGAATCACTCAGGAGACATTTGACTTTAAAAAAATTTAAGGTTGGTTTATGGCAGACAGACAAACAGCTAGACAGATAGATGTTTCCACCATAATGCCCATGCATTAAGGATGTAGTAGGGCTGCCAGTGAGTGGACATGGTACACAGATTGCTGTCGAGTACTAATGACCATAGCATTCGCAAACCTTCTGCCAGCTCCTGCATGGCTGACTGCACGCTCCTCTCAAACGTCACAGCATCAGCAGGACTCTGGAAGGTCAGCCCGAACTTGCTCTCATCTACCTTCCAGTGGTGGAAGATGGGGTTAGCCTTGTTGTACACCAGACCTTTCTTCAAGACGCATTCCAAAATAATCTGTGGGATTAACAAAATGTTCCGTGTGGATCTTGTAGCAAAATTGTGAAGCAAAGTCTTCCCAAGCAACAAACCCTGTAGGCTCTCTATAACAAGCCATCCTGGGACAACGTTCTCAAAATGGAGCACTTACCATGGAAACCAATGGAATATTTTGATTGGTTGCTCCATTTTGCACAGTTTGCTCCAGGTGATGTTTTGTACAGAAGCCTCTCTCTTTTCTAGCACTGACTAAATTGGGAATCATGGAGAGTTCATAAAATAATTTCACATTTCTGGTGAAGCCAACACAACACAATTTCTCCAACTGAACTGCTTTTCATTCTTCTATACTTTGGTTTAAAATGTGCAATTCCCATTGTAGTGATGAATCCCAATACATTTGAGCAAATTGAAGGGCATGCCTCTCTACTATTATTATTACTACTATTTATAAAATGCCAACAAACCCCACAGCGCCATACAAATGGGATGCTATAATTGTAGATATTTTATATATCAACAAAAAGCACCCGAAAACTAATATGAACAGTTCAACATAAATTATAAATTAAATTCCCAATACTTACAGTCTGGTCTCTTAGTCGCTCCCCACGGATAACATAATCTCGCTGGTGGGATGCGTCCGGGCGACGGACCTTGCAGATCATCACATGACTCAGACCCCCTCCTCCCATGGGTACCCAGCCCCCACTAGAATCATCTCTGGACATCACCACAGCTCGGACTCTCACAATATAACTACAAAAACAGATGACAGGGAAGAAAAAGATGAGGACACGTATAGACAAAGCAGGAGATACGTGTAATGTAATCCCCATATTTGTTTGCTAAGATTTGTGATTTTAAGTGGCCTTGTAAGATTTAAAACTGAGTTCGTATCTAATGTAGGGGATCTAACTGCATGTTATCAGGACAGGCTCAGACAGTGCTAGGTTTGTATCTAATGTAGGGGATCTCAACGCAAATTATCAGGACAGGCTCAGACAGTGCTAAGCTTATATCAAATGTAGGGGATCCGATTGCATGTTATCAGGACAGGCCCAGTCAGTTCTGGGTTTGTATCTAATGTAGAGGATCTGACAGCACATTATCAGGACAGGCTCAGACAGCGCTGGGTTTATATCTAATGTAGGGGATCTGACTGAACGTTATCAGGACAGGCTCAGGTAGAGCTATGTTTGTATCTAATGTAGAGGATCTGAACGCAAGTTATCAGGACAGGCTCAGGTACAGCTGGGTTTGTATCGAATGTAGAGCATCTGAACGCAGATTATCAGGACAGGCTCAGACAGTGCTGGGTTTATATCTTATGTAGGGGCTCTAAATGCACGTTAGCAGGACAGGCTTAGACAGCACTGGGTTTATATCTAATGTAGGGGGATATGACCACACGTTATCAGGACAGGTTCAGACAGAGCTGGGTTTGTATCTAATGTAGGAGATCCGACTGTAAGTTATCAGGATAGGCTCAGACAGTGCTGGTTTTATATTTAATGTAATGATGTTATCAGAAAGCGCAGGGTTTAAATCTAATGTAGGGGGATATGACCGCACGTTATCAGGACAGGCACAGACAGCGCTGGGTTTATCACAAATTCAAAAAGGAGTATGACTATGATGAATAAAGACACTACTTACATTAATAAATCTAATTTAGAGCTGCACAAAAAAACTCTAAAGTGGTTTTCTCACAATCCTAATTTAAACAAATCTGAACTAAAACTACCAGGCAATTGAAGGTGCGCTGGACAAAGGTATAAGCAAGGCACAACGTTCCAAATGTCAAACAACTGACACAACCCTTCAAGTGTTAGGCTGTAAGGCAAGTGTTAAAACAAACGTGCATTAATACTTATAAATACCACAAACTATTTCTTCATAAGAAGTGTGATTTGTTTATCCATGTAAAGAGAAAAAAAAGAAAAAAGAAGAAAATATTAATAATGCAAAATATAAAACACTCAAAACAATGGCAAAGGAAAAAGATCCCAATTTCAGCTCTGTATGCAACATTCAATGATCACTTTGCCTCTTCTTTCCTCCTCTGTGAGTAGGGATACCAGAGGAGATAATAACACGCCAGGTAGGAAAATTCACTTTATTGAGATAAACAATTAGAAATGAGTATAAACGAGTGCGATATTCAGGCAGAACAGGCAATGCATCAATAGCTCGTCACCGTTACCCGGTCAAACTCCTTCCAAGTAATGTGTTTCATGTGTACGGTGCTTCCTCTTATTGATGCCTACTCCTCCTCCGTCTCCAATTTAAGTCCATTCACAAATGAAAACGCCACCATTAATGAAAGAAATGGGTGCTTACTAAATTAACCTTTAAAACGCCAATATAACTGCCATATATGTGACACCAGTTTAAAAATACTCCCTCATATTAATACTAGCAACTAAGTGTATATATGTTTGTGACTCTTCATTATTCTAACCAATAGGATTGCCTAAAACAAACAAACCAAGATTGAGGCACAATCTTTCAAGTGAATACCACATGTTAACATTCACTGACTAAAAACCAGTAAAAACATTTAAATATCATAATGCTAATTTAAGAATATCAGATGACAAATTTTCTTACATGTATATAAGTGTAATATATACATACTTGACCAAACGTACAAAATCACAAGCAATATATTATTTAAAGGGACACTATAGTCACCAGAACAACTACAGCTTATTGAATTTGTTCTGGGGAGTAGAATCATTACCGTCAGGCTTTTTGCTGTAAACACTGTCTTTTCAGAGAAAATGCAGTGTTTACATTACAGCCTAGTGATAACGTCACTGGCCACACCTCAGATGGCTACTAGAGGGGCCTCCTGGGTGAGTGCTGCCTAGTATGCATTACAACATTCAGTGTCTCCACCCTCAGCATGCAGACACTGAACTTTCCTCATAGAGATCATTGATTCAAATCATCTCTATGAGGAGAATCTAATTGGCCAGGGCTGTGTTTGACTTGCGCTTGCTCTGCCCCAGATCTGCCTCCTTCACAGTCTTCACAGTCTCAGCCAGTCCTATGGGGAAGCATTGTGATTGGCTCAGAACACCACTTCTGATGATGTCAGAAGTCAGATGCAGTTTAGAGGCAGAGGCACCAGCTCCAGACTTGAATACAAGTAAGATTTTACTATATTTAGGGAGGCAAGAGGGAGTCGGGGGGGGGCTAGATGATGGTTTTAACACATAATGAACAGTAACAGCATTCTTAACCAGAGGAACAAATTCTTAAAGAAACACTATAGGGTCAGGAACACAAACATGTATTCCTGAACCTATAGTATTTAAAACAGAATCTAGCCCCCTGCACTTACTCTCAGAAGAGGCAAAGTGATTATTGAATACTGGATATATAGCCGAGATTGGGCTCTACTGTCTGTAAGGGCCAACACACCTATTTCACCTGAATCTACTTCGCATATAGCTGTTTTTCCGGTCCAGATATTGTTACATGCACATATTTGAGTGTTTTATATTTACAATATCGTTTTATTCGGTTTTGTTTTCTTCTTATGAAGAAATAATTTGTAATAGTGATTAACATTGTTTTAACATTGCTTCACACCTGAAAAGTTGTGCCTTCCATTTGTAGAGCGCACCTTCAATTGTCTAGCAGTTATAGAGCTTGTTTCATATTTATTGAAGCAGATCTGACCTGCTTTATCAGGACAGGTTCAGACAGCGCTGGGTTTATTTTTAATGTAGGCATCTGACTGCAAGTTATCAGGACAGGCTCAGACAGCGCTGGGTTTATTTTTAATGTAGGGATCTGACTGCACGTTATCATGACAGGTTCAGACAACACTGGGTTTACATCTACTATAGCTGATCTGACTGTACGTTATCAGGACAGGCTCAGACAGCGCTGGGTTTATATCTAATGTAGCTGATCTGACAGCACGTTCTGGCAAACAACACATATGGTACATGATATAAAATACATTCATACAGCGTTTAAAATTGCATTATATATCATAATTATATATCATGCCATGGAATTGTTCACATTACACATTTTAGTCTATTTGTTTAGAACAAAGCGAAATGAGGTTATGGCTTTAATTTACTAAAAACCAAAAAGTGGCAAATTGAAAGCTGAATGATAAAATTTAGGCAAAGATAGCTGATCAGCAAAAATTCACATATTGGCTATTTTAGCCTCAAGTTTGCAATTCATATTCAAATTTGCTAGAAACTGGCAGTCGATTCTTTTTTGCGTAGAAATGTATTTCAACTGGAACAGACACAAATCAAAATTCGTCTTAAACCAAACACTTGTAGCATCCAATACAATAATATGGAGCTTTTATGGTGAGTTGACCTTTATTATTATTCCTGTATTGAAAAAAAAAACAAATAAACCACTGAAATTACAAAAAATAAATAAATTGGAAGATTAAATCTCGCTGAGCCATGGGTGCAACATGAATGTGACATCACAAAGCTTTTGCTGACACATTTTCAAAATCATGATCGCTGCAGATTTTTTAATCTAACATTTAATAAACAAAAATAAATTCAGATTAACAATAAATAAATGTAAATGTTATTAGGGGGTACGGCTGGCCTCGTTTACGAAGGGTGGGAATCCAGCTGTTGGTTAAAAGAGAGCACAGCACTTGCTGTACACGAAGAGTTAATAGGCTGACTACTGTAACGCTGCATTATGTAGCCAGCAGCAGCAGCAGGGAAACGTTTTATGGGAGGAAATCTATAATAACATTAATGGCTTGTATAACAGCCATGATTGCTCCAGCTAACGGTGTGATCAGAGGCCTTCCTCTGCATGGAGGGGGGATAGATGGGAGGTTGTTGCCCCGTGCGTGCACATGGCTGCATGGCTGCTCAGAGCATGATTTAGGGCTGCAAGACTGCTCTCCATGTTTGGGAAGGATCTCTCAATGAAGGCAGCTTTTTGTGAATGGCTGGTCACATGACTACATCTTCTTTTGTCCCTCTCGTTATTAAACAACAGGTGACAGTGTGACAGGCGTCATTAAACACAGCTCTGGGGGTTGCAAAGAACAGGATTGAGATTGGCCTTGACTGTGGGCCACAAGGGCCCCTACCTCCCCAAGAGCATTGCCTACCAAGCATCTGCAGAGATAAGACATGAAGCCAGGAGGAGGAAGCAATGATGGTCCCTGAAAGTGATCACAGCCCCTTTTTATGAATGAATACAGATGCAAATAGGGTTCATTCACAAATCTCTGCCCCTTCCTCTCCATAACCAGGAGCTACAAAGTAAACAGAAATTCCCCCACCATTCACCACCACCCCATCAACGCTGCAATATCTAGCACAGTACCAGAGGGCTGGACAGGGCTGTGAGTTAATAGGCTGCACATACACTTTATATGGAGACAGACCATCCTTGGAAGGGGTATTGAGAAAAATATAAATGTCAGGGATAGTGCGCAGAATGAAGGGTGAATGAAAAGGGACAGTCATGCAAAATGATAGGGGAGTGGACAGAGAAGGGAACGGGTAACGAAATGGGGGGGAGCTCCAGCACCAACTAACCCTTTTAGTGCCAGTTAACTTAATATGGCACAGGAGGAATGCATACTATTCTGCAAGTCTGTGAAGGCCAGGGCCACAGGGGGTGTATTAATGATAATAAGCCCTGCAGGAGTAGGGGCCTCTCTATACTAATGATAAGAAAAGGTCATGGCACATGTTGTGGGGGGAATCTCCATTAATGACAATAACCCATTCAGGGTATGATAATAATAATAATGAATGATAACCCATTGGGGGTCTGATAATAATAATGAATAATAACCCACTGGGAATCTGATAATAATAATAATAATAATTATTATTATTATTATTATTATTATTAATGATAATCCATCGGGGGTCTGATAATAATAATAATAATAAATGATAACCCATTGGGGGTCTGATAATAATAATGAATGACAACCCATTGGGGGTCTGATAATAATAACGATAATAATAATAATGAATGATAACCCATTGGGGGTCTGATAATAATAATAATACTAATAATAATAAATGATAACCCATTGGGGGTCTGATAATAATAATAATAATAAATGATAACCCATTGGGGGTCTGATAATAATAATGAATGATAGCCCATTGGGGGTCTGATAATAATTAATAATAACCCATTGGGGGTCTGATAATAAAAATAATGAATGATAATCCGTTGGGTGTCTGATAATAATAATAATAATAATAATAATAATAATAATAAATGATAACCCATTGGGGGTCTGATTATAATAATAATGATAATCCATTGGGGATGGGGGTCTGATGATGAGAATAATGATAATAACAATGAATGATAACCCATTGGGCCTCTGATAATAATAATAATAGTAATAATGAATAATAACCAATTAGCATGTCTGATCATAATAATAGTAAATCCATTGGGGGTCGGATGATAATAATAATAATAATAATAATAATGAATAATAACCTTTTGGGAGGGTATGATAATAATTATAATATTGAATGATAACCAATTAGGAGGGTCTGAAAATAATAATATCGAATGATAAACTATAAGAAGGGTCTGATAATATTTAATATGGAATGATAACCTATTGGGGGGGTGATAATAATAATAATAATGCATGATAACCCATTGGGGTTCTAATAATAATAAATAATAGCACATTAGGGTTGGTGTCTAATAATAATGAATGATATAACCCATTGGAGGGTCTGATAATAATAATATTAGTAATAATGAATGATAACCCATTGGGGGGGTCTAATAATAATAATAATAAATAATAGCACATTGGGGTTGGGGGTCTAATAATAATGAATGATAACCCATTGGGGGTGGGGGCCAGATAATAATAATGATTGATAACCCATTGGGGTGGGGGGCTGATAATAATAATGAATGATAACCCACTGGGGTCGGGGACTGATAATAATGAATGACAACCCATTAGGGGTGGGGGTCTGTTAATAATGAATGATAATCCATTGGCGTTGGGGGTCTGATAATAATAATGATTGATAACCCATTGGGGTCTGATAATATTAATAAATGATAACCCATGTGAGTAGGGGTCTAAATAATAACCCATTGGAGGTCTAATAATAATATTAAATGATAACCCATGTGGGTGAGGGTCTGATAATAATAATGAATGATAATCCGTTGGGTGTCTGATAACAATAATAATAAATGATAACCCATTGGGTGTCTGATAATAATAATATTGAATGATAACGCATTGAAGTCTAATAATAATAACAAATGATAACCCATTGGGGGTGGGAATCTAATAACAATGAATGATAATGAATCGGGCGCGGGGGTCTGATAATAATAAACGATAACCCATTGAGGGTTTGATAATAATAATATTGAATAATAACCCATTGGGAATTGGGGACTGATAATAATAATGAATAATAAGCCATTGAGGGGTGGGGGTCTGATAAAAATTATAATAATGAATAACCCATTGGCGGTAGGGGTCTGATAATAATTAATGCTAACCCGTTGGGGTGGAGGTCTGATAATAATAATGAATGATAACCCATTGGGGGTGGGGGTCTGGTGATAAAGATTAATGATAACCTACTGGAGGTGGGGGTCTGATAATAATAATGAATGATAACCTATTGGTGGTGGGGGTTTGATAATAATGAATGGTACCTGTAAGGGGGGGGGGCTGATAATAATAATGAATGGTAACCCATGTGGGTGGGGGTCTGATAATATTAATGAATGATCACCAATTGGGGGTGGGGGTCTGATAACAATAATGAATGATAATCCATTGGGGTGAGTTCTGATAATAATGAATGATAACTCATTGAGGGTGGGGGTCTGATAAAAATAATGAATGGTAACCCATGTGGGTGGGGGTCTGATAATATTAATGAATGATAACCCATTGGGGGTGGGGATCTGATAATAATGAATGATAACCCATTGGGGGTTAAAGAATACCATTCAGTTACAATGTTGCACTCACTCTCTGTCCATGGCTGCTGGAGGTCCTGGGTGGCTCACAGGGGTGTCCTGGCACCGGGGCTGAGAGTTGCTCCCCCCGCTCTCTGCCTGCATCTCTCCATGTTATTCCTGGCCATCACGATGTGGCTGTTGGAACAGAAGCCATTTTTCAGGTAACGACAGAGTCCCCATCCCTCCCCTCCCACCACCCCCTCCCCGGCTCCTAGGCTGTGTCTGTGCTGCACCTGGGGGCTGATCGGCGGGGACGGGCTGCACCCTGCACCGAGGAAGGGGGGCTAGGGACCGGCAGGGAGTGGGGGGCAGCAGGAGGGGGCGAGGGGGGCTGGAAGGACCGAGGAGCGGGGAGGCAAGGAGGAGAGATAAGGAAAGGCTTGCAGTCTGCATGGTCCTAGCGCCGGCCTTTATCAATGCACCTGTCCTCATAGACAGCATGGAGGCTGGGGGTTACCTTGTCTGTAACTCCTGTATTGAAGATAGGGGATCAGGCTTCGTCACATGAGCAATGGGCAGAGAGTGAGGCCCCCCCCCCCTCCCATTATCTAAGAGGAATATTACACATATTGGAAGAGGGTGGGAGTAGAGCATCAAGCTTCTGTTCCTGCATGGGGACCAAGCATCTTCCTCCCATAAAACCTGTAATGGCCAACCATATCCATCCAGTGAGTCCTGTAATGGCCAACCATATCCACCCAGTGAGTCCTGTAATGGCCAACCATATCCACCCAGGGAGTCCTGTAACGGCTAACCATATCCACCCAGGGAGTCCTGTAATGGCCAAATATCTCCATCCAGTGAGTCCTGTAATGGCCAAACATCTCTATCCCGTGAGTCTTGTATGAACAAACATCTACATTCAGTGAGTGTTGAATGACCCAATATTACCTTCTAGTGAGCCCAGTATGACAGAATATCTCCATCCTGTGAGTCTTGTATGACAAAACATCTTAAACCTGTGAGTCCTGTATGACCAGCCAGTTCCTCCTTGTGAGTAATGTATCACCTGTGTATACTGTTAGTTCTGTATGACCAAACATGATCCTGTTAGTCCTGTATGACAATACATTTCCATCAGGTGAGTCCTGTATGACCAGACATATCCTCCTTGTGAGTCTTGTATGACCAAACATCATCATACTGTGAGTTTGTATGACCAAACATCTCCATCCTGTGAGTCTTGTATGACCAAACATCTTCAACCTGTGAGTCCTGTATGACTAGACATTTCCTCCTTGTGAGTAATGTATCACCTGTGAGTATACTGTTAGTTCTGTATGACCAAACATGATCCTGTTAGTCCTGTATGACAAGACATCTCCATCAGGTGAGTCCTGTATGACCAGACATATCCTCCTTGTGAGCCTTGTATGACCAAACATCATCATACTGTGAGTTTGTATGACCAAACATCTCCATCCTGTGAGTCTTGTATGACCAAACATCTTCAACATGTGAGTCCTGTATGACCAGACATATCCTCCTTGTGAGTAATGTATCACCGAACATCTCCACCCTGTAAGTTCTGTATGACCAAACATCATCTTGTAAGTCCTGTATGACCAGATGTCTCCATCAGGTGAGTCCTGTATTACCAATTATCTCTTTCTTGAGAGTCTTGTATGACCAAACATCATCATACTGTGAGTCATGTGCCACCAAACATCTTCATCTTGTGAGTTTTGTATGCCCAAGTTTGTTTATTCTTTCTTGTGAGTTCTATGTGAATAGTCATACAATGAGTCCTGTATAGCCAAGCATCACTACCTTGAGAGCCCTGTCTGGCCAAACAGAATTCTGAGAGTACCATATGGCCATACATCTTTATCCTAAAAGTCCTGTATGGACAAACATCTTTATTCTGTGAGTTCTCCATGGCCAAACATCTTTATTCTGTGAGTTCTCCATGGCCAAACATCTTCATATTGTGAGTTCTGTATGGTCAAACATCTTTATTATGCGAGTCTTGCATGGCCAAACATCTGCCTCTCATTGGCAAAACATTATATTCCTGTGAATTCTGTAGTAACAAACTGTCTTCTTCCTTTGAGTCCAAAACAACAGAAAAGATTCTGTGGCTGGGAACACACCAGTACACATGCACGTGAGTGCATGTAACTATATGTATGTCCTCTATCACAATACACTAGTGAGACACTCCAAGGGTGTCTCAGGGCTTAACCCTTATTGTATGCTAGGAGAACAGTGGTGAGAACGAAGCCCCCTGGATATTTGGCAGTATCCTAGCAGAGTAAGTGGTAGATGGCTACAGCAGACGCAACTGTAACAAAACTAAACAAAGTAGCAAAGATGGCTAATAAATGATGTGCAATAACATCCTAGCCTTATCACATTCCTTTACCTCCCACTACTGTGCAAAAAATAATATATATATATATGCACAGAACTGGCTTTATTATAAGGTTGGCCGATATGAGCATTGTTAAATCAAAGAGTAAATGCTAAGTAGTGAGATTCTGTCTATAGGGGGTTATACCCCTGGTACTTGAGGAATTGTAATATCTCAAATAGCATGGGATACCAGTGATTATATGTCTGTATCCTCTAAATAAAATATATTAGGAACCAATATAACCAAAATTGTGCCCGCAGGCTCACAAGTATGTAGATATACAACTAATATTACCAAGTCCAAATGAGTCCTCTTGATATACAAATCCACAGAGGACCACCTTTGGGAAGAAAAAAGGATAGAACAAGCCTCTCTCCCTTAGAATCTAACTAGAAAGGTAAAGGAAAATAATTAGATAGTTAGAAAAGTAATCATCAAGCCATCATGTCACTAGAAGTGTTTGGGTATTGCCAAACGTTCCATGCAAAAAGTGAGATGACATGCACAAAAGAAGATAAAATAAAACAAACAAAACAACCCGCAAAAGTATGTGCACCTTCGCAGGGGAAAAAAAAAAGCAGGGGGCACAAAAATAAACAAACTTTGACAAAAGGATTTTATTGTACATAATTTATTAGCCATCTTTGTTACTTTTTTTTTGTTTTGTTACAGTTGCTTCTACTGTAGCCATCTACCACTTACTCAGTTAGGATACTGCCAAATATCCAGGGGGCTTTGTTCTCGCCAATGTGAGACAATCTTGCCCGTTTTTTTCCTTTGAGTCGAGCATAGCCAAACATCTCCATCTTGAGACTTGCGTTTGGCAAACATCCTCACTCTGAGTCCCATATGGCAAAATATCTTCACCTTGTGAGTCATGTAATGGCTAATCATCATCTTTCCTTGAGTGGTGTCTCTAAATGACCATATATCTTTATCCTTTGTTAAATCTATGTCCAAACATCTCCATTCTGTGAGTCCTGTATAGGCATGCATTTCTGTCTGAAAAATCCTGTTTGACCAAACATCTTAATCCCATGAGCAGTGTATGGTCAAGTCTCTTCATTTTGTGAGTCCTGTATGGTTGAATATCTCATTCTGTCAGTCCTGTATAGCCAAACATCTTCATACTGTGAGTCCTGTATGGCCAAACATCTTCATCCCGTTCTGAATGTCCAAGTTTGTTTGTTCTTAATATTATGAGTCCCATGAGAATCTTTATTCTGTGATTCCTGTTTCGTGAAGCATCTCTATTCCAAGATTGCCATATGGCGAAACATCTTTATTCTGTGAGTTCTGCATGACCAAACATTTTTAATATGTGAGTTTTGTAGGGCCAAACAAAACATTTAAGTGAGTGCTGCACTCATCAAAATCAGTACTAAAATAAGTTGATTTGCACAAAAAAAGTTTATTGGGAGTACACAAAAATAAGATTACTGTCACGGTTACTGTTACCCTTACACACAGGAAAAAGGATACCCACAATTTGAGGGTCCAAAATACATATTACCGGGCCTTAGATTGGCCAGATTTAACGATTTACAAGAGAGAATCAAAGTTAAGAATAGCCGAGGTTAAGAATACAGAGATACGGATACAAGCCAGATAAGGATAATAGAAATACACAGGTCAATATAAAAGCCAGGTCAGTATGCCAGAAATACACAGGTTAATATACAAGCCAGTTCAGGATACCAGAAGATAAGAATGTCAAAACTAAGCCAAGGTCAATAATGGGAAATCACAAGACAGTTGCAGGAAGCACTAAACTTATTACTAAACAGAAACCACGATAGGGCAATGTAGCGGAATGGACAAGTTACTTTTTATTGGCTATAATGGCTGTCCGTATCCTCCCCCCTTGTTATTTCATGGGTTTTGCCAGTTATTTCGTGTAGTTCTTCTTTGGCCGTTCGGGAGACTTCATCCGAACGGAATGCATTTGTCTCCCGAACAAGGCCAACCGGTATCCCATTAACACCAACCACTTAAGTGCAAAACCACAAGGGAAACAATTAATGAATGCTCTCCTGGGTATAACTGAACATGGTGCTGGGAGGGTGGTGGCCATCTTGTCTCCCGAACGAGGGCAGCTGTACTTGGTTGTCGAGTGCCTGGGACTATTTTCTGCTTGGCACTCTTGTGAACGCCAGTAAACTGCCGACCGCTGCCCATTCTGTTTCCCGACCACCAACACAAACGGAATTCGGGAAATATAAAGTACCGAACGGGGAGCATTCATATAATGAGTGTAAGATATTCCCTTGTATGGTTTTTGCTCAGGAACCTCACGATCAGAGACCGTCCAGGGCACCTATTCTCCTGGAACTAATTTTGGCTACCACCTCGTGTCTGGCCGGTCAAATCTTCCACAGAATGCTGTTCCCGTTCTACTGAACCAGTCTGAGTGGTTCTTGGATTTGTTGGTCATTTAGATCGGTGCTATCAGGGTGTCACGGTTCACACCGTGACATCCAGTCTGCCAGACGTGGTTGCTCCAGAAGCGCCTGATAGGGGATTTGAACTGTGGTTCTTCTGGACTGTATCCTGCTGTTCTTCCTCTGAGCCATTTCAGGACTTTGGATAACTCATGTTTATTCTTGTATTGCCTGCAGCACTTGGGGGCTGGACTTCACCAAAGGCTCAGATCTGTCAGTAACTCTCCAGCTGAGTCTGATACCTAATTAACAAGATATAAAAGCCTGCCTCACCCTGGGAGGGGGTCAGTTCATTGACTCTGGTTCCATTGTTTGGTTCCTGTTACTCCGTACCTGCGTTCCAGTGATTCCTGTCCAATTTTGGCTTCTGACCTTGGCTTTCCTCCTGGACTACTCTGACCTCTGGCTTCCCTTGACCACGCTTCTGCTATCCCTGCTGTACTGAGACGTGGAGCACTTTTCCTGGAAAGCCCCCGTGCACAGACTCACAGGCCAGGTGGCGTCTTACCTGGTCACCCTGGTCTGTGTCTACTTTGCAAGGGTGAGCGTATAACTCTGCGAGCTGGACTCCCTATCAGGTAAGACTCCATTACACAGGGAATGTTTTTGTGGGGTTCCTATGTATGGTTGGGGGACTTTTGGGGTATGGGATATTTTGGGGATTTTTTGTGCTTGGGAGATAATTAAATTGGAGGAGTTTACTCAGGCAATTACCTCTTAGGCACAAAAGATCCTGGGATTGAAACCCTTGCATTTTCTGCCTGTGAAACCACTTGCATGGGAGATGGCATACAAGCTGTGTATGTGACAATAAAAATCAGATATACCCCCAGAGCTGAGTGTTGTCCAGTTGCTGTGGATGAGGTGGGAGATTATTTTACTGTGTTTGGCTGTTCCATTGGATTGTGTTGCTTGTTCCTGAGTGTGTATATATAGGAATAACCAGCTAGGACTAGAGCTCTGCTACAGGCAAAAATTCTCATTCCGAGTCTCATGTGGCCAAACTTCTTCATTTTGTGAGTCCTGTAATGGCCAATAATTTTCTATACTTTAGTCCTGTATGACCACACATCTTTATCCTATGCTTCATCTATGACCAAACATCTCCATTCTGTGAGTCCTGTATAGGCATGTGTGACGGACCGCCTGGCACCCCGACCGGGTACCTCTGTCAAACGCTGCTTCCTACTACTTGCAAGCACCCTAAGCACTGCACTGGAACACCATAACCACCGTAAACCTCGCTGTCCCTCACCCACCCTGGACCCAAGACCAGGATCCAGCTTCCAGTGGGTAGACCTCTCCTAGTTCAGAGAGCAAAGCAGGCTGCTCTTATAAGAGCAATCGTTGTGATCCAAGGGAGTATAGTGATTATAGCAATCCCCAGTGTGTGAATATAGCTCTCCAATCCCCTAGATGAGCCTAGACTTCATGAAGGTTAAAATTAATCTTGTTTAATGGTAGACACAACTGGCCTTTTATGACAGTCCCCATGCAAGGGGCACGCCCCCCGGTCCTGAGCGTACACCACAGTAAACAAATACACAATCACATTGGCTCTCAGGTCCAGGACCCTCCCATACAAAGTAGGTCAATCCCTCACCTATGCCTGGAAGATAATTGAGTCAAGCACTATACTAAACTCAATTATCTCCAAAAGTACCTTAAAATACACAAAATCCCCCTAAAATCCCCAGATTTGGTTCAGGGGTTCAGGAATTTCCTGGAAGTCATGGTTTTGACCAACCGTACGCATGGTCCCATGCCCAAAACAGTTCCATAGAATCGCGGCTAAGTGCCGCCGTGGGACCAACCATCAACCGCAAACTTTTAATGCCGAAAATAGGTCCAGGGCATTCGCAGCTAAGTCCCCCTGAAGTCTATTCGCGGTTTTGGTCCATTTGAGCAGCCGCCAGTGAGCTAGCGTTCAATTCTATGGAAAGTGCCGAACCAGGGGGAATAAAATATGGGTCTTTACAGTCGCTGACCTGGCCCATAGTCTTTTGTCAGGAGGCGGACAAGCAGGCCCCTCCAAGAACATGTGGCAAGGCTCAGTTCGTCACAGCATGCATCTCAAGCTTAAGAATTCTGTTTGACCAAACATCTTTATCCCATGAGCACTGTATGTCATGTATAGCCAAAAATCTACATCCTGTAAGTCCTAGGTGATCAAACATCTTTATCACATGAGCCCTATATGACCAAATATGTTCTTCCTGTTATGTATAATTAAATATCTATATCTGAGTATTAAATTGTAAAACAGTTTCATCTTCTAAGTTATATGTGATCAAACATCTTCTTCCCTTGAGTTCTGTATACCTGCATATCATCTGGGGCTAAACATTGCCATTTTGTCAGTCATTTATAGCTATGCATCTCCATCTTTAGACTCCTGCTGGGCCATAGATCATAGTTCAATGAGTTCTGTATGGCCAAACATCTTCCTTCTGTATGGCCAAACATCTTCATCCTGTGAATCCTGTACGGCTAATCATCTTAATACAGTGAGTACTGTCTGGCCAAAATTTCTTAAGAAACAGCTAGCAGCCGAAAAAGACATTCCCATGAGTTTACCAGCAGTAGGGCGCTGTAGCATCAAACAGCTACCATACCAGAAAGAGATACTATGGAGACAGCAAGTAGTGCAGAGTGACATCCTTGGAAGATAGGTACCCACCTAGAGAGGCCAAACATGAAAGGACTGCTTGCAACTAAAATAGGAATCTGTTTTATATGTTGCTATCTATCCAAAGAGATTTCCTTAGGACACACTTAACAACACTGCGGAAAATACCTAGTAATGACAGTCAACCACCGAGAAATCTATCCACAGGAGACAGTTAACAGCCTAATAGGAGACATTCTCACTAGACAACTGGTAGTCCAAAGTGACAGGCGATTCCCACCAGCCCAAAGAGGCATCCTCAGTAGACAATTACAAGCCAGACAAGGACATCTCAGAGATAATGCTGTCCCTTCAGATAGAGTTATGTTTAGACCTAGGAATCTGAAACCTATACAGGTTTAAATGACTAGCCAATGAGGCGTACTTATAGAAAAAAAAGATACTAGCCAATGAGACAGGCTGCACAGTAGTAAGCAAGCTACTTGACCCATTGCCTCTCAACAAATGTGTGTAAATGGGCTAACCTTATTAGTTCATAAAGTCTCAATAACTTACCCCTTTGCTTAAAGGGACACTATAAGCACAATAACCACTGCAGCACTCTCTAGAGGCAAGGTAAACTATGAAACTGTTTATGAGCTGTTTGGTACTTACATGGCTCTGTGGGCACTTACAGTGCTTTCAGTTCATACTTCTGTCTTAGTGTACCAACTATGGACATTATTCATTGGAGTGTCAGCTAACAGCCTGCAGCCAATGAATAATATCCAAAAATGGTATGCTAGTATACAAGTGTGAACTTTGCAATAGCATATTAGTGCAGATCAGAAGGTAAGTGTAAAACTGTTTCACAGCTTACCATGGGATGGCAGCAGGAAACTATGGTGCTTGTTAAATACGTGTGTGCATTCGGCAGAGAAACAAATTCCTCTTTCAGGACTCTATTCTGTCACTCTATATATCTGAAGATGGAATGTAAATGGCAGTCCCCATCCCAATACAGCAACCTTTTGTAGGTCAAACTGTATGACTGAATTATAACTATCAGGATTGGGGGCCTTAGGGACACTTGGCACATTACAGGGATTTAGCCATGCATGGTTGGTATAAATTGTATCTACTAAATAAAGACAGTTTTAAATTCCCAAAGAGACAAAAATTACCAGATTTTACTAATTTCATGACGTAAAGTCATGATTTTATTAAGGACATGGAGGCTTATATTATGCTTTATCTCTTTTTTTTTTTTAAATCCTCAGCAGCAAAGAAATCATACTGTAAATATTTAAAGAAAAAATACATGTACCCTTGAGGGTTAACCATAATACAACATATTAACCAATAGGAATGCTCCTTGCACTATAATGTCCCACGTGACCTTAAGCCACTCCTCTTTCGTACTGGTGCCGACGAACATTCCAACAAGACCGAAGTAGATGACCAACTAGATGAGAAGAACAGCGACTCCAGGATTATCCAACAATGGAACTTGGAATAAAATTTGCACACATCCTTTCAAGAGTGTGAAGGACCGATGTGGACTGATGTGAAACCAGTTAGGAGGCTGTAAAGACAAAGAAATACGTGGTAAAATATGCCCATGGATATTAAATCCTAATCGAGTGCATCTAGTAACAGAGCAGTGTGACAAACTGCCTTTTATCACTGGGTTTTTATGTGACCAACTGCCCTTTGCTCCTGGCTTTTGGAGGAGCCTGATTGCCAGCCTCATGACTATGGCCCTGGGGTTTATGGCCCTTTAAAAACTATATGTGGGCATATTGGGACTTTTTGGGACAATGCCCCTTTAAGACTGTGTCCCCAGACTGTTAAAATACGTTGTGAATGTCATTTTCCTATTTGGTTCGGTAATTAGGGCTTACCGAACCAATTACTGTACAGGCGGACCACACAGAAGTGGAAGAGTGCGGCTAATTTACCTCCCAGGCTGGGGGGTTACTGAAGGTTAATTGCCGACCGCTGGGTGGCCGCCGTTCGTACAATCGAACAAGTGGCGGCGGCCATCTTTATTTAGTCGAACGCGGTCAGCGGTGTGTGCCGTCAAATTTATGGAATTAAAACTGGATACAAAACGGCACGAACACCGCTGAAGTTTTACCTTCCCTGGAACTAATGCATTTGACAATTCGAATGGTTGTCGTTTGTCTGTTTGAACTGACCTTAACATGGGAAATAGACCTGCCGCACAGCCAGATTCTCTGGAACTGTTTTGGGCAGGAAAGCATGCTTGCGGTTGCTCATAAAGGACTTCCAGCTAACTTTTTACCCACTGGAGGAAATTGTCTGATTTTTGGGTATGTTTGTATTTGAAGTATGCTGATTAATAATATGTAACTTTTATGGAGATTGTATGTATATTTTGTGAGTTATGAATATCATATGAAACTGTATATTTTCCTGCCTGTGATAATTATGTTAACCTATTGTGTTCAGTAATTATATCACAGGCAGAGGGGAGGATTTTGCTGGAATGAATGGGAGTGTTTCACTGTATTGTACTTGTTTGGCTGTTCTACAAAACCATGTGGGTGGTACCTTGTGTGTAAAATTTGCATAAAAGAAAGCCCTTTGGTGCTGATTAAACAGATCATCTTGTACCTTCAGGAAGTGTTGGCTCATGTTTGGGGGATTGGAGAACTACACCCTGGGGATTGCTATAATCACTTTACTCCCCAGGGTATAATCACTAAGCTCTGCTAAGAGCTTGTTCCTGTTCCTGCTCTCTGGAATTCAGAGAGGTCGACCTACTGGAAGCTGGACCCTGGGCGGCGAGACCCCAACCAAGATGCGGTGGTCCGTGGGGTCTGCAGTGGTTATGGTGTCAGGTGGAGTGCTTGGAGTCCTCGGAAAGCACTTGGAGCATCCGTCAGCGGAAGGTACCCGGTCAGGATGCCAGCGGTTCCGTTAAAAGCAGTATATCCAATTCTTGAACATTAGCATCAACAGAAATAGTTCAATTAGGTGAATAACCACATTATTATGACGACTGTATACTTCTCATAAAATTATATACCTATATTGCAGGGAGAGTGTAACATACCTGTGTCGGTTGGGATAATACTCGCCTCCGTGTCCTTAATAAAATCATGACTTTACATCATGAAATTAGTCAAATCTGGTAATTTTATTAAAGGACATGGAGGCTAATATTATGCTAGTTCAAAGCTGTGCAACTACCGTAGTGGAGAAATGAGGAACTGGACGAAAATAAAACTCCCGAAATGTAGAATACTGGGGCCAATCATCGGCAAGGAGGAAGTCTTCCAGTCTGCATCCTAAGGAGAAGGCTTTAGATGCCATAGCGGTAAAAAGGATAAAAGAAAAGATAAGGGTGCGCCTAAAATATATAATAAAACATATACACAATATATGGTAAGATAAGCAAATATAAAATAATAGATAAAATAATAGTCCAAAACCACTTATCAAAAAGTCCGTAATGGTGGGATATATAAAGAAGATAGGAGATCCTGAGACGTCAAAGTGGAGTGGAATCTTCACAGCAATATACTTGAATCCAATGAGGAGTATATGGAAGGGAAACAGAAACAGGAACCAATGGTACAGTATGTCAGCCAAATAAAATTCTAATTTAATGAAAATAGCCGTACTCACACTCTCCAGAGCTAGATCCCAGCTCTGGTATTCAGCACATGAAGTGGAACAATCCCCACTCAAGGATATGTAGGGTAATGTTTGATTGGAGAGTCTCTGGCCCAAATTCCGTATTCGAGTGAATATTTTTCAACCCAAAATGAGAGAATAAAAATATAGTGCTCTCTGTGTACAATAAAACAAAACAAAGGAATGTAAAGTAAATTACTTACATTCTATAGAGCAGATCTATACTGCTCGGTATAAACGCCTGGGTGGTATAATGCCCACCTATGGATTCTTTAGGTTCCTTGTGGATGTAGATCAGGTGCACGAATAAGAATAAAATTATAATAAATAATAAATATTAAATAGACATTATAAAAAGAATATATAAGGGAAAAATGGCAATAAAATATTCTATGCCAAATAAAATTCTTTATTATAAAGTAATTAAAATAATATCTATACGCGTTTCGCCTCAAAAGGCTTCATCAAGTAGATAATCATAAAAGGAAGGCACACCTGACATACAGAGTTTTATATAACTTACAATAATGTTAAAAAAAATTTAAAATTCCCGCCAAAATGACGTCATCAGAACATAAATATTACATTGGTGTTCAAAACAATTATTATTATAGATATAAATAGATAAAATTAAGCTTATATTTATTAGTATCTCCAACAAATGCAATACATACACACACAGACTGCTGAATACACACACACACACAAGACTGCTGAATACAGAGACTGATGAATACACATACAGACTGCTGAGTACACACACACACAGACTGCTGAATACACACACACACACACAGACTGCTGAGTACACACACACACACACAGACTGAGTACACACACTGCTGAGTACACACACACAGACTGCTGAATACACACAGACTGCTGAGTACACACACACAGTCCACTGAATACACGCAAACACACACAGACTGCTGAATACACGCACACACACACACTGCTGAATACACACATACTGCATTGAGGTGGGGGGTGCGTGTGTGTGTGTTGTATGTGGGGGGTGCTGTGTGGGGGTGCTGTGTGTGTGTGTGGGGGGGGTGCTGTGTGTGTGTGTGCTATATGTGTAAGGGTGCTGCGGGGGGGTAGGGGTACCTGCATGTGGGGGGTAGGCACTGGGAGGGTAAGGGTACTGTGTATGTGGGGTAGGGTACCGCTGGGGGTAGGGGTTGTGTGTGTGTGGGGGGTAGGGGCACTGCTGGGGGGTTGAAAACGCCAGGGGGTAGGGTACCCGCTGGGGGGGAAATTGCCAGAGGGTAGGGGTTACCGCTGGGGAGGGTGAAGTTACTGCTGGGAGAGTGGTAGGGGTTACTGCTGGGGAGGGTAGGGGCTACTGCTGGGGAGGGTAGGGCACTTTCGGGGAGGGTAGGGTTACCGCTGAGGGTAGGGAAAATGCTGGGGGGTAGGGGTAGGGGCTACTGGGAGGGTAGGGTACTGCTGGGGGGAGGGGCTAGGAGTAGGGGTTACCGCTGGGGAGGGAGGGTAGGGGGTTACCGCTGGGGGGTAGTGCTGGGGTAGGGGTTACGCTGGGGAGGGTAGGGGCTACTGCTGGGGGAGTAGGGGTTACTGCTGGGGAGGGAGGGTAGGGGTTACCGCTGGGGGTAGGGGTGCTGGGGGTAGGGGTTACTGCTGGGGAGGGTAGGGGCTACTGCTGGGGGCAGGGTAGGGGTTAGGGGTAGGGGGCTGGGGTAGGGGGCTGGGGTAGGGTGCTGGGTTCTGCTGGGTAGGGGTTACTGCTGGGGTATGGGTGCTGTGTGTCAGTATACCCCCTCCCTCCTTCTTACCTTTAATGAAGTAGGGGGGGGGGGACACAGCGATCCCTGGTGGTCCGGTGGTGGTAAGCACTGCAGGGGGAGGGCTCCAGGAAGCAGCTCCCCTGTCCTCCTGCGCAATGCTGTGTGGAGCGTTGCCATGGTAACGCGCGGCAACGCTCCACACAGCATCGCGCGGGAGGACAGGGGAGCTGCATCACAGAGCCCTCCCCCTGCCTCCCGACCCGGAAGCAGAGTAGGCGCCTGCCGTTTCGGGCAGGCAGGCGCCTACTCTGCATTGATGGCGAACCTGTGGCCGCGTGCCCACAGAAAGGGCCCCGCGTGCCACCTGTGGCACGCGTGCCATAGGTTCGCCATCACTGCAATAGGTTATCGTTCAAACTCAAAGAAATTGGTCTAGATGAAAATTTTTGTTTTTGGGTAGCACAGTATCTTAAAAATAGAGTACAGAGAATGGTAATTGATGGTGCATTTTTAAGCTAGACAAAAGTGGTAAGTGGTGTCTGTCAGGGTTCTGTTCTGGGACCATTTCAATTTAACATTTATAAATGATCTTGAAATGGACATTGAAAGTCATGTTTCAGTATTTGCAGATGAAACATAACTCTGTAAAGTGATAAAATGTGAGCAAGATATTACTTAGCTGCAATAGGGATTTAGATAGACTAAGGGACTGGGCACTCAGATGCCAGATTAAATTTAATGTAAAAAAATGTTATGCTCTTCAGGGTAAAGAATGCACAAGTGTGACAGAACCATCTGTCTTTAAAACTGTTTATTTCCCTTGGTTCGTCTGTTTGTTCGACTATTTCCCTGTCCATCCAGTCCCCACACTTTATTCCCTTTTACTGAACAATTTGTCGAACGGCCGGCCACCCAGCTTTGAAGTGTGCTGCTTGTTAACCTCTTTGCCCCATCAGAACATTGTGGTTAACCGCAGACACTTCCTAATTGTCGAATGTCGGCTGGGTGGTCGTTGTTCGTATGAACGAACACGTGGCAGCAGCCATCTTGGACATATGAATGCCCAACGGTGTTCGTCGACGATTTTGTGGAACTAAAAATGGCTACTATTTTCACACGAACACCGCTGAAGCCGCCAACCTCCCTTCATCTGTTTCCCGTTCATACGAACACCGTCCGTCCGGTACTTTTCATACGAACGTAGCCACCTCAGACAGCTATCTCATGGAGCCCATTCGTATAATGAAAGGACTAAGTGAAAGACTTTGGCTCCATGGCGATTAAACTGTATGCATCTGATCTGACCGCTGTTCGGTAGTTTTGTGCGCTCAGATCTAAGCTATCTGGGGATATGTTGAATGTATATGCTTTATGCGGTAGTTTATAACTTGTGCATTTTTATGTATTTTTTCTCCCCGCTTGTAAAATGGAGGTTAGTCTCTATCCTCTGAGATAATTGAGTTACTTCCCAGTTATCTCCAGGATAGAGGGGAGGGATCACAATGTACCTGTGGGAGTGTTTAACTGTGTATGTCCGTGATTGGTTACTGTGTAAAATTGTCACAGTTTTCCACCAGGTCCCGTAGAGGAGTGTCCACCTGGTGGGAGACCTGCATAAATACCTGGCAGTTAGCCCCATTAAACCAGATCAGTGCTTGACCCTCAATACGGAGCCTTGTCTCGTACTTGGGGGGATTTATTTGTATGGTTTTCCTGTTCGGCTGTTTGGAGCATTTGTATGGTGTGGAGTATTCGTATGGTTCCTGTTCGGCTAATTGGAGTGTTCGTTAGCTGCTTCCGCATTCGGGAAGGGAACATTCTCAACGGCTTTAACCCTTCGTATGCCTGGGGGTGCCGTTACAACAAGCAACTTACACCCTAAATTAAAGTGAATTAGGGATAACACACAGGAAGGATTTGAGAGTTGTTAGAGACCGCAAACTAGGCAACAATGTACAATTCCAATCAGCAGTGGCTAAAGCCAATAAGGTATTGTCATGTACAAACAAAGGGCATTAATTCTCGGGATGAGAATATAATTTTGTCTCTTTATAAATCACTGCTAAGGCCAAATCCTAAAATATGCTGTGCAATTTTTTTTTTTTTTTTTATCAATCTTTGTTTTATTGCGGCATATGAGATGGGATACATAAGAGAGAAAAGGGAAATGTACAGTTTGTTCACAGGGTGGGGTCAATACATCGTTAGCATTAGGTAGATACATTTCCTTGTTTAGTATTGCCACATTTTTTGTTAAGTTGATTAACGAAAACATATATAAAGCATTTTGAAAGTAAGCAAACAACGGTTATGTTAAGTTACTAACATAATACTGGAGCCACACTTGGAGCCCTGCAGTAAACATATACACAGTGCAAATACAGTCATGATATTCACCTAGACATTAGTTAATACGTTGCGAAGCAACCTGCTGATACACTATGTAGGTAGTAAACATGCAATTTCAAGGTAATCAACAAAATATGCGTAAACGTAGCTGTGCAGAATAGACCTATCGGCGGCTTATGAGTACTCATTTCGTATCATTTCCAGGGTAACAATGCCTTATTGTTAAAGTTTAAACTGTAGCATGGAAATTCAGGTTATGGATTATAAGATCCAGTATGTAACATGCTAAATTAACAGTGCATGTATTAATCTTAATATTCCAACAGTAGAATACCGAGTATTATACAGTCAACTGGTGTGCCTTTGCCAATCATTAGGGTAGTTTATAACAAGCTATTGTGTTATGATTATTTAACTGCTGCATATTGATAAAAATCAGTCACAAGCAAGAGTGGGTTGAGACATTGCATGACAATGAAAGTAACACAGGTGTGTGGATGCATGCTGCGGCACTATAGTGGTTTGTGAGGATGGAGCTGTACTATCCGAGTCTGCTGTGATGGACCTTCTCGGGGTCAGGCTGGTGTGTCAATATGTGTGCGGTGGTAAGCTGTTGTGACCGCCATGCAGGTGGCGAGGGTAGTGTTGGTCTTATGTGTGGTGCTTGCGTACAGCTAGCTATGTCGGGTGAGTGTACTCCCTTGGTAGGGATGAAGTATGTGTTGCGTATGGCTGGGTCTGATTACCATGGTAGGTGGCATGCTTTAGAGACTATAGATCAGTTGGTTAATAGTTTAGTCTCTGCGTTGTGGGCTGGGTTGTTGGTTGCGGGCCGCAGCCTGCATGAGTCCGGGTTGCCTCACCCTATGCCCGTTCTGGTGACTCTGCTCGTGCGACTGGGTAAGTGTAGGCTGCTCAGGCTCCCTCTGGGCGGGAGTTCCAGCAGCGTTTTCAGGTGGGTCAGCGAGGAGTGGAAGTGGTTGCGGCTGGGGGCTTCTCCCTTATTCCCGGCATCATGTGGGGTTGGCACCATGTTGCCACAGACTCGGTTGCCTATCGGGGCTGGGTCTTTCCCATGATGGACGCTGTGGAGGGCCCTGGTGGTTGTCCGCCGCCAGCGGCGGGCGGCTCTCCTGCGGTGTGGTCGGTGGATAGGAGGGAGTCTCCTAATGTTCCCCTGCCTGGATGGGTGTTCCGCCTGTCGGTGCGCGGCGGCTTTTCCCGGGGTCTGCCCGCTCTGCCTTACAGCCTGGATCTGCCTCACTTCTTCTTGGTGTTTAAGGGTTTGACGTGCCAACCGTCTTTCCAGCTTCTCCCAGAACCGGCTGAGCAGTGCATCTAGACGCTCGTGTAGAGGCTGGGTGGAAGCATGCTCTGCAGTTTGGCCTGAGGCCTCCATTTTATGAGCGTCCGCTTGACTTTGTGTTTCGTGCTGTTGGCTGTCTTCATCAATCGCAGCCAATTTAGGCTTAAGGTACATGCTTTTATGGACCAAGATAACCCCCACTGGTCCTGGGGGGGTAGGGAGGCCCGATGCTTCGGGTGCCGCTTGGTTTGGCGAGTTGGGAGAGCGTCCGTCTCTCCCCACCACCATGCGTTGTAGGCCCCAAGTTCCCGGCCCGGACTCCCAGCGGGTTTGTAGGTCTGTGAGTTGTCCTCCTGTACCCCCGCTTTCACTATGCCAGTTGCGGTGGGCTGAAGGACCAATTTGGGTGAGTTTTCCGCCAAAAATCCAGCCCAGGCTCGGGAGCTCACAGAAAGCGTGTCTGCTCAGCTCCCCGGTCAGGCCCCGCCCTGCTGTGCAATTTTGGGCACCTGTTCTAAAGAAGGATATCATGGCACTAGAAAAAGTGCAGAGGCGGGCTACAAAATTAATAAAAAGAATGGAACAAATTATCTATGAAGAAAGGTTAACATAATTAAACTTCTTTAGCTTATAATGGAAATCTATTCACAAATAGGACTATACATATGACACCAGATCATGCATTATACTGGAAGAAAGGAGATTTAGTCTAAGGCAAAGTAAAGGGTTTTTTTTTTGTTTGTTTTTTTACTGGAAGAACAATAAGGATGTGGAATTATCTGGCTGAAGAAGTGGTTTTATTAGAGTCAGTACAGATGTTTAAACAGCAACTAGATGCATACTTGCAAAAAGACAATATGCAATTATATAATTTCCCAACTGTAGGGGTAATAGCTTCTTGATCCAAGGATAAATCTGACTGCCATTCTGGGGTCAAGAAGGAATTTTTTCCTAGTTGGTTGCAAAATTGGAAGTGCTTCAAACTGGGTATTTTTCCTTCTTTCGGATCAACAGCAAAAACAAATGTGAGGAAGTCTGAACTTGATGGACACTTGTCTCTATCCAGCCTGTAAATATGAAGCGAGAGAGACTTGGAGTCCACTTCTAGACCTAGAAACAGAATTCTCATAGAAGGAGATAAATTAAACATTTCTCAGTTCACCAGCCATCCATGTTCAGGCAATATCCTAAGTATAATATGTATGTTTCTTTGAAGATTAAGACTCAAATTCACTTTTAGGAACCAGTCGTTTAGATAAGGCATGACTGAAATGCCTTTCTGTCGAAGGGAGGCTACCAGAGAAAAAAGTTGCGTTTTTTTGCAGAATTGGCCAGAGAATAAACGCCTCTCATTACACCAACTTTCTGCTTAACTTAACCTTGCTGTTGTGTTGGGTTATGTTTCGCCAAAGCCTCCTTCAGAGGTTGTTAATTTTTCGATTGGCAGACATACTAGGTCTTATTTCTCTAATACTTTTTATCTATTTTTTCATAAAGAACTATTTTTAACAGCAATTACTTGTCTTCGTTATTACCTGGATAGGACTTCTTTGTTGCGTCCTTCTAGTTCCAGTTAATTGCACCTCACATGTTGAATCTCACAATTCGATTTTGGTTGTGATGCTTGTTGGGTGTGTTGGCTTTTATCCGTGGCAGTCGTCGTTCACACATTCGGGGCACATTCAGTTTGCGACGCTGCAGCTTCTCCCACGCTGCCTTCCGAGGATACAGAGTATCTTGGCTGATATTCTCCGGTCGGAACACCGGAGGGTACTTTTTAGGTGGGTTTTTTTTTCCGTCCTGTTTTGCATGCCTATCTTGCATTGTTTGGGGAGCCTTAAAAACAAAATAATCCCACTACGCCACTACTGGAATACCTCTCGGACACTTACTTTCTCTTATAAATTTTTTTTTTGTTTGTTTACTCTCTCTCTCTCATGCACCGAGCTATACATGATTGTCTTTAACTTAAGTCTAGTACAATACAATACAATAATAACGTTAATAGCCAATACGAGAGTTTCACCTTGCATGACCAGTTATCACCTAATTTTCTTGTTCACCTTGTACCGCAATATGCCATCATAGGCATGCTCATCCTGACAACTTAATACAAAATCTGTGCAATGTCTTTATTGCCATAATGTTCATTTCATGTGTACATCGTTTGGTTTGCTCCTGCTGTTGTTGCAAGGCAACCCCATTTGTTAATAACATGCACAAATAAAATAGAGTTTAAAAAATAATAATCCTCCTGTCCTGTGGTAAAATTGTGTATTATTCTAGTATTTTCCCACCTTCTTACTCAGAGGCGGCTCTAGACTTTGCAAGGCCTTAGGCGAAAGTCAAACATGAGGCCCCCCATTTACACCATTAGTGAAAAAAATTGCAGCAGCTCCCTATGCCGCTGCGTTGTCAGCACTTTTACTGTAGATATGACATAAATTGCTAATCATTTGTATACGATTGCTGGGTATGGTTGTATAGCCTGACATTTCCCCACATATTCTAAATTCCTTAACATGTATATTATCATATATGTGTTTCCCTATGTATTTTATATGTATATATGTATGTATGCATTCATGCATATATATGTTGCTTGCAACTTTATCTTGGCATTGCCCATATCATACCACAACCACACTGCAGACACACGCACACATTTAAACACTAATACACAAATACATATACACACTGATACATGCACATGCATTTACACACACACACACACACAAACACACTGATGCACACATATTGACTAATACAGATATACAGTCACAATGTGTTTATCTGGCTGTGTGTATTTCTGAATGTGTCTGGCATTGTCTGTCTGTGTATGTGCCTGAGAGTGCGTCTGACAGTGAGTACCCTTGTATGTGAATGTATGTTTCTGTGAGCATGTGTATGTTTGTGTCTAGGACCGTATGTGTGTGTGGTAGCTGCTTGCGGTATTTTTTGTATATGGACTGTGGCCTTTGTGCATTTTGTCTGTGGTGACAGTGTGTGTGTGGGGAATGGTGACAGGGTGTGTGGAGGGAGGTGACAGGGTGTCGAAAGGGGAGACTGTGTGTGTGAGTGGAGGGGATGACAGAGTGTGAAATGACGTGAAAGAGAGTGGAGGGGGCTGACAGAGTGTGGAGAGGTGTGACAGAGTGTGGAAGGGGGTGACAGATTGTGGAAGGGATTAACAGAGTGTGAAAGGGGGTGACAGGTCGCTGAGGGAGGGATGGGGTGACAGAGTTAGGGGGTGGCAGAGTGAAGGGTGGGCAGGTGGCTGAGGGAGGGGTTGACAGGTGGCAGTGTCAGAGAGGGAGAGGGTGACAGGGGTCAGAGTGAGGGTAGGAGGGGGTGACAGGGGGCTTTGCGATGGGGTGACAGAGTGAGGGAAGGTAGGGGTGACAGGGGACAGAGTGAGGGAAGGTGGGGGTGACAGGGACAGAGTAGGGAAGGAGGTGGTGACAGGTGTCAGAATTAGGGTAAAGGGGTGACAGGTGGCAGAGTGAGGGCCACAGTGAGGGGGTGACAGTTGTCAGTGAGGGAGGGGCTCACAGGGGGCAGAGTGAGGGGGTGACAGAGGGCAGAGTCAGGGAGGGAGGGGGTGACAGCGGGCTTAGTGAGAGGATGACAGCGGGCTTAGTGAGGGGTGACAGTGGGCTTGGTGAGGGGGCGACAGGGAACTTGGTGAGGGGGCGACAGGGAAGTTAGTGATGGTGACAGGGGGCTTAGTGAGGGGTGACAGGGGGCTTAGGTAGGGGGTGACAGGGGACTTAGTGAGGGGTGACAGGGGGCTTGGGGTGACGGGGACTTAGTGAGGGGTGACAGGGGACTTAGTGAGGGGTGACAGGGGACTTAGTGAGGGGTGACAGGGGGCTGAGGTGTGACAGGGGACTTAGCGAGGGAGGGGTAATTACCTTTGCAGGTGTCCCTGGTGGTCCAGTGTCCTGGCTCCCTGGTGGTCCGGTGGGCCTCCTATCCGGTCTGCAGCTCCGCCGGGTGTGAGCTGCAGACCACGTGATAGGAGTCTCGCGATCTCCAGAAGTCAGAGCGTTGCCGTGGAAACCCGCGGCAATGCTCTGATTGGCTGGGGATCGTGAGACCCTTCAGTCTGCAGCTCACACCCGGAGGAGCTGCAGACTGAAGGCTGGCTCTCCGGGCGGACTGAGGGGGCCTCGCACCCGGCGGCATAAAGGGCAAGCCGCCGGGTTCCCCCTGATGTCGGATCCTCGGTCATGGACCAAGGATCCGACATGTATGTCTGCCCTTGGGCGATTTAGGCGGCCGCGAGGCCCCCATCAGCCCGAGGCCTTAGGCGGCCGCCTAAATCGCCTAATTAGAGAGCCGCCTCTGCCTGGCGCCCTTTGCAGAGACGGGAACAAAGAGGTTCTGCGGCAGCTGGCCGTCCTGCAAGCATTACATTAACCAGCTGTTCCCCATGCAGCCACTGGTGGCACTGTGCTGGGAGAATGTGATTACTCTTCACTTCCTCCCAGCTTACAGAGCAGCGCATGGGAGAGAGAGAGGAGGAGGCATGATTTAATCTTACAACAAATCCACTAAGCAAATCTTTATAAATTTGGGGGATCTGCTCTGTTTCCACAGTTTATTGGTGTTTACTCTGATGTCTGTATAAATATTGAGGGATTTCTAAGTAGTAGCATCAGTGTAAGTCAGCAGGGCCAGCCGTTAGGGTGTGCAAGCTGTGCGGTCACGCAGGGTGCCATGACAACAGAGGCGCCTGGCGGCCAACACAGCTTACAAGTTGGGGACACCAGCATATTCAATTTAAACGATTCGCTAGTGGTCCACTGGTGCGCACCAGCAGTAGGTGCAGTCAGATCATATCCTCTCCCTCGTGGTTCCGGCGCTCAGTTAGTGAGTCGGAGCACAGGCTCAGAGATTCTCAGCCTGCACTCTGACAACATTGAAAGTCAGAGCCATGAAGGAGGAGGTATGGCAAAGAGCTACTGATTAGCATAACATCAATATCCGTTATAAAACCAGGAAAAGGTGGGCATGGATGATGAACTGATTTGGTGGTGCAATGGGCCACTTGACTGGTTTTTCCCCCCAGGCCTAAGGCTGGCAGCCCTCACCTGCCTATACATGAGCCTAGACTTTATGAAGGAGTAAAACGAATGTGTTCAATGGGACACACACAACCTTTTATGTAACTCCACATGCAAGGGGTTTCCTTAACATATTCCAGGGGCATTCCCCTCTGGACCTGAGAGGGAACTAGTTACAAGCAAACATTCCACACATTCTTCCCCTGTGCCTGAGAGATAATTACCTGAGCACACAAACATATAATTAAATTATCTCTCAGGTACAAAAACATACAATATAACAAAAAAAACAAATACCCCCAAAACGCATGAAAACCCCACAAAACTCACATCTCCTGATAGCCCCGATCTGGGTGACCAACATATTCAAAAATCACGCAGATCGGTTCAAGGGTTCGGGATTTTCATGGAAGTCACATTTTTGACCGACCGTGCACATGGTCCTATGCCCAAAACAGTTCCAGGAAATAAGGGCTAGCGGTCGGTCTCTTTCGGGAGCAGAAAAGTACATAAAACACAGAACTGAATCTTTAAGTTACTTGTGTAGCCTGTTTCCCTTGTTCGTGGGAACGTTTCCACCGAACAGTGCCTGCGTTCATGGGAACAAGATGGCCGCCACCTCATGGTCGTTCATACGAAATGCAGCCACCCAGACGAACACTTAGAACACTGTAACAAAACTCTATCCTGTGCCTGGAAACACTGGCTATTACCGACCCTTTAAGAGCTAGCCAGGCACATACACAGGGACAGAAACCTCGGATTATAAGGATGTATCGTTTGTTCAGAAAAGGACATCAAGCTGGATACAAATTGAAGATCCTTACCTGCTTTCGTGGGGATTTTTCTATACAGCAGTTCTGGACTTTTAAAGCATTCATCATACGAATGCAAACTACCGAACACCGGACCACCCTGCTACCTAATTATGTGTAATTTACCTCTCTGATCGGCGAATACAGTCTTCATGGGAAACACACAAACGCTTTGTTGAAGTGCCTGGGTTACCGCCATTTCGGGACTTTTACACGTGGTCACGGCCATCTTAACTCCCGAACAGCGGTGTTTTGCCGTCGAGTGTCTGGAACTAAAATCGGACACTCGAGTAGGCGAACACCGCTGAGACCTCCATAGCACTGGAAATTTGTGCCAAAACTACCGAACACCCTGCCGTTCGGTAGAAAGACTTAGCAGCATATGGGGATTCTGGCGAACGTCAAGTTACACATGGATGGCAAGCCTTTCGGGACTTTTAACGCGCAAACAAAGACCGACCGCAAGGCCAAAACTCATGGAACTATTTTCGGCTACTTTGCCTGTGCAGTCGGTCAGCTTTAAAGTTCCATATCTCCCGAACCACTGAACCGAATGAGCTGATTTTTTAATATGTTGTTCCCCCAGAATGGGGCTATCTGGGGACATCTTTGGGTGCGTCCAAAACCTGGGGAAAAATGTGTCTTTGTTAATTGGGTTACAGGCTTATCTGAGGGGAGGAGATGTGTGGAATGTACCTTATGTTTTATTGGTTGTTGTGTTAATTATGTGGGTGTCTCCCTTGCATGGGCAGAATCACATAAAAGGAGAGTACCTGCCATTAAAATTCAGTTCTTCTTGACCCTTCAAAACATAGCCTTGTCTCATTATTGAAAGGGGATATGCAGCTTAATCACTTAGCTCTTTTAAGAGCTCTGCCTGACTCCTGCCTTGGATCCAGTGGATGGGAATAAGCAACTCCACTACTACACAGCGACTTGC